TTATACTCGTAGGAGGGAAGTATTCTAGTACCGGGATTAGCTTGTCTAGTCGTAGGGTTAGTAGCTGTTATAGTTGTCGCGTTGTTATAATAGTAACAAAGCGTATAAAGGACGCGACATAGTTATTTAACGTATTTAATATAGAATTAGGTAAGAATTGGCCTAGGTCTTAGCTAGCCTGCTACTCTATCTCCTCTGCCGTGTTCGTATCCTTCCTATAACGCCGATACGACGCGCTAATATAGCTAATAACGCGCCGAAAGCTATATCGATAGTATCGAGATATACGATTACAACCCTAGAGCTATTACTATAGGCCGAGCTAGCTAATTTCTACCTAGCGCTACTATTAGTATTATTCTACCTTAACGTAGTGTTTCTAGACTAGACGCATGCTATAGATGCACTCTACCGAGATATAATTAGTATATAGGAATATAAGGAAGCATTTATTGCTCTATACTAGACAGGTCTCGTCCGGAGATTCGTATACAAACTAGACTCTAATTGTGCGATAAACATTATCCTAGCAAAGTAGGAAGACGGCGTCCGGGTCGTCTATTTTACGGATTATTCTTCTTCTTATATAGCGGCAGCAGCGAGTCCTCGGTACCCGAAATTCGCACTAAGTGCGATATACGTCGATATAGTCTAGGCATATAATGCCTTTATCTATTAGGTTATGCTTCCGAAGGAATAGGCGAATACGACAGAAACATATAATACGGCGCCGCAGAGTATTTTATCGCACCTAAAGCTTAGATATAGCTAATCGAAGGACTATATATTTCGTATTATTATCTAGTATTAATACAAACACGAAGGGGGTAGTGCTAAAGTTCGATAGTTTATAGAGCATATATATAGAGTCTAAGTGTTATATAAGCAGGCGAGGCGTAGCCGAATTTCTGTATTCTAAGCGACTTACTATAAATACAGAAATCTACAACTCGACCTAACACTCGGTCCTAGATTATATCTAAACTAGTATCGTTATATTACTAACGACAAAGCTAAATCGGCTTTAAGCAAGCGCAAGCAAGCGAGGCGTAGCCGAATTTCTGTATTCTATACAACTTGCTATAAATATAGAAATTCAAAACTCGATATAATACTTAGTCTTAGATTATACCTAAACTAGTATCGTTACGTTACTAACGACAAAGCTGAACTAGCATCGTTACGTTACGTCCTGCTATCGAAACCTAACGATACTAAGATACCGTTGTTACTTAGCCGCTAACTAAGACTACAACTAAAGAGCTATACGCTAAAGCCTACGCCGACGGCAAGCGTCCTGCAACTAAAGAGCTATGCGCTAAAGCCTACGCCGATAGCAACTAAGACTACGACTAAGACTACAACTAAAGAGCTATACGCTAGCGCCTATAAAGACCCTAACTAAGCGTAGCAGCATTTAGATTCCGTAAAGAGCAAGAGTAGAATTTAGTAAGAGTAGCATAGTTTTAGCAAGAGCAGTATAAGTTTTAGCAGGTTTTAAGAATAGCAGTATAGATTTTAGCAGGTTTTAAGAAGAGTAGTATAGATTTCATTAGTTTATTAGACAAGCAGTACAGATTCCTAGCTAGAGGACCGGGCTTTTAGTCGAGGAACTATTAGCCCTAGCAGTACTAGAAGGGCTAGCAGTGCTAGTAGTAGCATGTTCGGTAGATCTCTACAGCCCTATAGCGTAGTACATTTGCCGCCTTACTTCTAGCCCTTACTGCTATACTAGCTGCCTTTAGACGGCGAAGGCGGAGGTGTCTCCTCTAGATAATTCCCCTATATCCGCCTATACTGCTCGCGCCCCTTCTGCCGCTACCTCTCTTCTTCTGCTATACGCTCTCGGTTAATTGCTGCTTAGGCTTTAGCCTCCGTGCCTAGACTAACTTAGGTGCCGCTAGAGCCCTACCGAACAGCTCTCTATATTTCGGCGTCGATTCGGGCTGCCTAGGCCTAAAGATCTCGTATATTTAGTAAAGATATTAGCGATTTAATAGCTGTCTTATAAGGGCTGTCTTAGTAGCTGTCTTAGTAAGGGCTGTCTTAGTAAGGGCTGTCTTAGTAAGGGCTGTCTTAGTAACAATACAGAGTGTAGAGAAGTAACGAATGCTTTATACCTCTAGAGAATGCTAACTGCGACCTAATGTTTGCTACAAACAACCTCTATGCTAGCAATTAAAAATAACCTCGAAGCTAGCAGTTATAGGCATACTATTGCGTATTACCTAGAGATACCGTATATCGCCTACTAGCAACTAGCATACTGTAGCAACAAACCTGCGTAGCACAGACGGCCGTATTATTAGATAACGGTAGCGAAGATATTATATCCTATAAATACAGAAATTCGCTATTAGTCGATAGATGCGGGCACTAGCGGGTATATAGCTAACTAAATACAGAAATTCAATGTTAATTGAAAGCCGCAATAGCTGACCCTTGACTTCTTTAACAATAAAGGACAGTACTCGTAGTGTCGCTAGCGAACGCGGAATTAGTGTATTAAGAGAGCTATACTATAGATACAGAAATTCGATTTTTAGCCGCCCCCCTATTAGTATTACTATCTATTCAACCTAGTTATGTTAAGAGGGTTAAGAGGTAGGTGTTTCAGTTATATTAAGAGGGTTAAGAGGTAGGTATTTACTAGCAGCGGATATTATTAAATAGCCTGTACCTTGTTATTAGATAAAAATGCAAGAGGAGGTATAGACATATCTCTAACTCCGCCGCCTTCTTTATAGCTAACTACCGCTACCTCCGATAGCTAACGAACTACCGCCGCCTTCTTTATAGCTAATATAGCCAACCTCCGCCGCTTCTTTATAGCTAACCTCCGCCGCTTCTTTATAGCTAACCTCCGCCGCCTTCTTTATAGCTAACTACTGCTGCCTCTAATAGCTAACTACCGCCGCCTTCTTTATAGCTAACTACCGCTGCCGACTAGACAAAATAGAAAAAGCAGCAGAAGAGTAGGATACTAAGCAATAGAATAGAATAACTAAGCAAAAAAAAAAAAAGGCAAGGCTAGAGCAAAACACTAACCTTCTAATACCTAGAAACCAAGATTATAGAAGGCTATAGAAACTCGATTACAGTTAGAGGCTAGGCATATACTAATCTCTAGTTTCTAGTAAGGGGTAAGTTGTAATAACACGGTACTTTGGCCGAAGCAGGGTTACCTAGGTCCGACAATATTAGACCTCCTAATTCGATATAAGTGTCTCGAAATAGAGCTCTTACGACGCTATATTACAAGGACTTTTAGACTAATAAATCAGTTTAAGGAAGCGCGACACTACCTTAGGTTAATCGGGACAGGGAGCGGGCCGTTAGTTACGTAGTATTTAAATGCGCTAGGCGAAGCATGTTTACCTTTATAGCGAAGCTAAGGAAGAGACTGTGCTCTCTTCCTTACCTGTTAGTATAGTAACAGGCTCGCTTCGCTATTAGATATTAGCTATTAATTCTTATATATATATATGCCTCCTATAGTATAACGTTAGCGTAGTAGTTAATAATAGCAGCGATATAAGGTTTATACGATATGTTAATTGTAGGTTCAATTTATAAATAATATCGTTGCGAGAAGAAGTCATTTTTTCGTAGTTAATATAATCCGCTATGTTAGCGATATTAGGCATTGTACTTTTAATGCTAATACGAATATAGCTACCGCAATCCGCTAGGATAGCAATCCGCTAGGATAGCAATCCGCTAGGATAGTGAACTCGTAATACTAGCCTAGGAGGCACGGCAGAAGCCTCTAAGAAGAAGTCTAAAGGTTCATTTCTGCATTTCTGTATTCTATGCAATATATATAGAATACAGAAATGCAGAAACAAGCTAGGAGTTTTTAGAAGGTTAAGAGTAAAGGTCTAGGAGGGACTCTAATTGTAGCCGTATTTCTGCATTCTATGCAATATATATAGAATACAGAAATGCAGAAACAAGCTAGGAGTTTTTGAAAGGTTAAGAGTAAAGGTCTAGGAGGGACTCTAATTATAGCCGTATTTCTGCATTCTATATAATATATATAGAATATAGAAATACAGAAACAAGCTAGGAGTTTTTAAAAGGTTAAGAGTAAAGGTCTAGAAGGGACTCTAATTGTAGCCGTATTTCTACATTCTATGCAATATATATATAATATAGAAATGTAGAAACAAGCTAGGAGTTTGTAAAAGATTAAGAGTAAAGGTAAAGGAGGTTTAGGACTCTAACTATAGTAGATTACTGCCGCATTTCTGTATTCTATGCAATATACATATAATACAGAAATAGGGAAATAGTGTTTAACTATAGTTGTCCCGGACTTATAAGAAAACTACAACTCTATAACTAAGTAGTAGCAATAGGGGATTTTCTATATTTGCTAGTATATACTGCGGATATAGAAATCCCATCCGAGTAATTAGTATGCCAATGCTTACTATCCGAGTAATTACTATGCCAATGTGTCCCATCCCAGTAAGAGGTTTACCATTCGAGTAATTACCATGCCAATGTGTCCCATTTGAGTATTTACCCGAGAGCCTTGGCAACGGTTTCTTCCGTCATCGTGCAGTGAGGCAGGCGTTCATGCTTCACTTTGACCGTACTCACACGAGGCACATGCCGAAATGCCACGATGAAGACATGGCGCTAACGAGTCGTCCGGTTGCTTCTCGACACGCACATGCAGGTCGCCAATCGGTGAGGACTTCGCAGGGCCGATCTGAAGCGTGACGGAAGCGTCACTTGCACATCTGGTAGGGACTCGCACATATCAACTTTTGTAAATGGCTTCTTTGAATGACAGTCGTCCGCCACCTTTGCCGCCTCGAGAATCGCAGACTTCGAGGGGCACAAGCCTGGACGAGCCTCCGCCATATGATGCAATCCACCAACAACAAGAAGCCTACGCAAAGGCAAGCAACTCTGGTAGCTTGTTGCGTGATGACCCACGTTCTTCTTCACAGCAGTCGCTGCTGCCAGCGTACGATGAGACAGATCAACGAAGAAAGCTACTCTTAGTCTACATTCATGGCTTTATGGGCGCCGAGACAAGTTTTCGTAGTTTTCCTGCTCATGTGCACAACCTGTTGGCCATTCTCCTCTCCGAAACGCATGTGGTCCATTCAAAGATCTATCCGCGCTACAGGTCTAAAGGCAGAATATCCAATGCTAGGGACGATTTTAGCAGATGGCTGAGCCCGCACGAGGACAACGCCACCGACACTGTCCTGCTAGGACATAGCATGGGAGGATTGCTATCTGCTGAGGTGGCGCTTATGCCTCCTGAACCACCATCAGCTCCATCCTTGAAGCATCGAATCATAGGGACCATCAATTTCGATGTTCCTTTCTTGGGGATGCATCCTGGGGTAGTGAAAAGTGGACTGTCAAGCATATTCAAACCGGCTGAAGAAACAGATGACAAGTATTTTGAAACCACAAGTGCTGGAGACGGTTCACATCAGATTGGATCGCCACCACCATTACCGAGTCCAAATCGAACAGACACGTTATGGGCACCTGAGTCAGCGGATCCGAACTACAACCCTTCCTTCCAGAACGATGTGGTGCTTCCGGTGAGAAAGGGCTGGCGTAATGCATGGCACTTCATCAACAAGCATTCTGACGACCTTACTAAAGCGACGAAGAAGCTAGTCTCGTCGCATTTGGAATTCGGCGGAGCGATGGCGAATTATAATGAATTGAAGAGCAGATATGCTAGGCTGAGAGCACTTGAGGAAGCGGACGAGCGAGTACGGCGATCAGTTGTCCAAAGCGGAACGCCTCCAAGAGTCCGATTCATCAATTACTATACAGCAAGCACGGGTAGGCCTAAGAAGCCCAAGGCGACCAAAGAAGATCCTTCAGACAGTCCACAACTATCGCGCCTGCCCTCGCAAACAGGCTCGTCGATATCTGGTATATCGGCTGAAGACTCAGCAACCAAGGATTTGGCGACTCTCAAAGTAGAGGACGAGCCGCACGGTGATGGCTCCCAGGAGCGGCTTCGTTCGACACTCTCAACAACTGTTGATGACAGGATATCAGACCCGGGATACATTCCAGCCAAGCCGGCTCCTTTAGATATAAGCTATATCCAAGACCCTGCAACGAGAGCACTTGTAGAGCAGGAACACAAAAAAGCTCTTCATGCCTACGAAGCGGCCGTTCAAGCACATAGCGGAACAAAGGGTGTGGATACCAGGTCACGACGAGACATTTCGGATTCAGGTGGAGAGCGCCAGTCAATAGATTTGACAGTAAGAGGGAGACAGCCCTTGGCACCGAAGCCAGAATCGGAAATGTCTCATAGCGAGAAAGAAGAGCTTCGACTGGAACGTGAGAGGCAACGCATGGAAAAAGAGGGCAGAAGGCTCCGTGGTGAGCCTGAACCAGAGTCGTCACAGCTGCAGCCACACACCGACGCCCTCCGTCCACCACAAAACTCACGTTCTTCCAGCATAGCAGCTATATCCGAGCCCACGGTTGTTCATGATACGGATTCTCTAGCGCCGTCGGAGACCAGAGGACATGAGAGTCGGAAACCGAAGAAAGATCGCATGTTCTGTAGTCTGCCGCCTAAGGATTCACATGGAGAGCGAGATCCTACATGGGTTCGCGTTTTCATGGAAAATGTTGATGAAGTAGGAGCTCATTGCGGGCTTTTCTTCGTCGACGAGAGGTACGAGCGGTTGGTCGGAGATGTAGCAACGCGGATAGAGAGCTGGGTGAATGATGAGAATGGGCATCGCGCTTCGAAGGTCTACGATAGCAAGACATGATGCCCGCTACTCCGGGATCTGTAATGGTCGAAATAAAGCTCGTGGTTATGATGCGTGAAGCTAGAATTATCGAGGTTCCATAGGCCCAATGACCTTTTAGTCGTCTCCGAAAAATCCTCTCCCGGTTTCGTCTTCGCTGTCGTCGTCCTCGCCGTTGTCTTCCTTCCCGAACTGCGACGTCTTCGACCTGCCTTCTTTGCTAGTTTGCTTTTCCTGTACCCGCTTGGCAGAAATTTCGGATACACTCTCCTCCTGATCAACCTCTGCTCCTGATGCTCGCAGCCTGCCTTCTCTTAGGTCTTGCAAAGTGCCCTCTGCCATGCACTTCCTCACGGTCTCCCACATTTCCTGATCGCCCTCTCTCCCCGCAGCTTTGTCATCAGTTTCCGCCCTTTCTGTCGCTTCGCCGTCCTTCTTGCGTTTGGATGGAAACAGCGGCACATAGTCCACCTCCAGCGGATAGTAAATAGCGTAGCTGACATCGACTTCACAGTCCTCTACCGTCTTTTCTAGCGCCGCATCCGCTCCTGCTGCAGCCTCCAGTGCTTTTCTAGCCTTCTTCAAGCGTCGCTCTGCCTTTTGCCGGTCGAAGAACCGCACTTTATGCCATTTGCCAATCATCCCGCTTTTCTTCTTTGCCCTTTCGGCATCTTGCAGCTCCTTTGTCACGGTCTGCAATGCGCGCTCCTTCTCAACTCGTACATTGGCAGGCAAGTCGCGCTCAAGCAACCGCTTTAGAGACCGAATTTGGGATTTCAACTCGTTCACCGGATGTGCTTTTCGGAAGGATTTTCCACTCAGATTCGCTGGCTTGTTCGGATTGGTGTTGTATCGAGGCCGCTTCGAGCGCACGCCATGATCGTCGGGTGCCTGCCTCTTGGTTGCCATCTTGCGTTGACGAGGATCAGTCCGGAAAGATGTTCGCTTCAAAGTTCAAAGTTCCGCTTGATGGATCCAGGGTTCATCTCAGACGCCACGCTTTCCCGCTTCGGTCTTACCGGCTGATTAATGATGACGTAGAGGCCATCCATGTCTCATGTAGTAAGCACAGTACACTGGCTATATCTTAGGTACAACAATCACGATTGATCGTGGGTATCATTGATCGATCATGTCTCGTTCCCTTCGTTCCTTTTCTGCAAATTAAGCCTCGCGCCTTTTGTCTTTCCTCTCAGCCAGTGCAATGATCTCGATTATGCCATCGACCAGCGTCAGAATGGCGTCCACGACCATGCCATAGTCGTCCAGTGCTTGCTAAACCTTTGCTTGCTCCTATACAGCAACATCTTGCTTGACCTTCACTTCCAGATGGTGTGCACTGGCCTCTTCCAGCCTCGCATGCTGCAAAGCAGACGCGGGATCTCCAGCATCTTGATCAACCCCAACGGCGTCTTGTGCAGCCAGTGAAGGCACAGCGCCTTCAACCCTTCTAACCAAGCGGCCCTCTTTGAAAGAGATGAAGCCGCCCGCGCCAGCGATTCCGCAAGCAAGAGCGACAAACAGACCAGTCGACCAACTTGGTCTGTCATATCTGTTCATTCCCCACATGAAACCACACCTGGTCCGTCAGTGAAATGTCTAATGTAAAGGGGTACGAAGTAGGTATGCTCACAAACATATCTGAAAGAATGTGTTCCATACTTGACACCAGACGAACCAGTCTAATTTCCACAGTTTTGTTGGTGGTGCACGCACGCCTGATAGAGGATCGTCGGGCGCTCTGGCTAATGGTATGGGTACCCTGATGTCTGAAGTTGCTTCACTGTTGGCATTGCACTTCTCCGAGACAGAGTTCAAGTAGATATTGGCCGAGATTTGGTCTATGGTATCCGACCCAGGTAGTCTGAACCAATTTCGGTGATGGCCAGCAAGTTTACGAATCCAGAACATCTTCTTATCCAGGCCATGCTTCCGCTCAGAGGTAAATCGATATCGCATTAGATAGTATAGATCGCGGAATCGCCACGGGGCCAAACCGAATCCCGTCACGCAAAAAAGCGCGTTAAGAATTTGCGAGTCGATCTCAATCCAGATACGGCGTGGGCTATCAATGTCGTTACAGTCGTGAATCCAAGCGCCATTTCTTTGAACATGGCACATAGCTGGACTGGCATTGCATAGAAGGAGGAATAGCATACCACCCCATGCTACTACATTCAGTCCGTAGATTGTTACGAGAAAGCCGAATGGCGTCAGGAACCACTTTGAGAATGCCTTCAAGGCATTGAAAGTAGTCGTAGTCCATGGCAGCTTTGGCGTGGGAATATGGCCTGATGTATAGAGTTGTTGTCCTAGGCTGAAGGCTTGAATGTTTTCCGGTTGGGTTGGCACGCTCTGTTGAGTCGAGAGTCGTTCTATGATTTCTTTCCCCTCAGTCTTGTGGAGCGGCTCTGTCTGGACCGGCTCGTGGACTTGGGTGCTATTGCGTGTATGCTCCTCTTCCAGAGGCGGGAAAGGCACGAGGCCTCCGTCCTGTATTGTCACCACAGCATCATCATCACTTGATCTCTTATTGTCACGAGCACGCCTTCGGCTAGAGCTCCGATGCCTGCTAACTCTCTGCGTAGCATCCTGTTGCCTTATACTCCCTCTTCTGATCTCGCCAATGGTCGGAAACCCGCTTGTTGCCTGAGCTGTTGCCGCAATGAAGCCTCGTGGTAGGTCGCTCTCTAAGACACGCTCTGTCGCAGACACCACGCTCTGCGTGACGCTGGATACGGAAGTGCCTCTCCTTCTGCCTGTCGTCGGGCTTGTTGGTGAGCTTGTGGTTGATGGATCCATGCCGCTCTACGACCTCGAGAGTAGCCTCTCTCAGCAGCAATTGCTCCAGTGCTTGCAGCTTGTGACGCTGTATTGGGTAGGCGGTTCACTGGGAATGAACTCTGGGTTCGATCACCGAAGCACGTGTTATCAGATCGAGCGCGTTGGTCCTGGGCTACCAATGGACCAGAACTCTGCCAGTGCTGGACGGAGCTGCATAATGATACTCGCAATAGCAGTATTCATACCAGTCGCGTCCGTTCGCATTCGCGAGCGGAGAAGTCAATTGCGTAACGGAGAAGTCGCAGCCTGGGGCGCAGCCGCTTTTATCACTGTCTCGGAGACCCAGACGAGAGATGGGATTATTAATATTTGATGGTGTGTGTATCCCCTGCCAGAACTCGTACCTGCTCGGGGTTCGTCGGCAAAACTAGGATGTCGACTAGAGCGGTGATTCTGATTGCACGAATCGATTAGACCTAAGCCGTATATAGCATTTAACAGCAATTCTTGCTCCACTCCAGTTCGTCGGACTTAACTAAGGAATTCGTTAAGGGGATGTGTGTATGTATGTATATACACCAGGTAGTACACTTAGTATGCAGCTAAGGTGTGGTATAGTAAGCTAATTAGCGTTCGAATAGTAGGAGTCCTATCTCTCGTCTACGCCGTTTCTATCGCATTTTAGCTATCTATATAGATTTTCCCCTTTTAAGGAAGTACTCGTCGAGGAACGCAAATTAGTATATAATATATAGTATCTAGGTCCGCCTAGTAGTACTTTTTCGAATTGCAGTCTAGATAGTACGTATTCCTATTATTGCGATATAGCCTTTTAGTCTATATAGCCGAGTATACTCGGTTTTTTAGATTATAGTATTTAATTTTCCTAGACTAGGGCTATTGTTTAAGGAATAAAAAATAGTAATTAGTAAATACTAGGTATTTATCTAGGCCGCTACTATTGCGGATTTTTGAATTTTAGTCTAGGTATTACTATATTATATATTCTTTCTTTAAAAAAAATTCGGGGCGCTTTGTCTATATATATCTACTAAATTCCTATAGAAGTAGATTAGACTAGTAATAAAGGGTATTAGATAGTCTATATAGGAGTTTATTTCTTATAGTAGCTAGGTTATATAATATAATATACTAGTAACTACCTAATACGCTTTATTGCTAGTCTAGGTAGAGATAGCTTTTATTATATAAGAAACTTCTAAGAGGCCTATTATCCCCTTGTATAGGATACTCTTTTTGGAATCTAGAGAGTAGACTTAGAGTAATACGTTCACGCACTGTATATTTAGGAACATTATCCTAGCAACCAGTGCCTCCAAAAAGAGCTTGTTGCCAGGCCAAGAAATGCACATCGTCGTTGTGCTGATTCTGATTCTGGGAATGCACGCTCTGTAATTTGCGCAAAGGGTATATTCTGCATATTATTCCAATCATCCAAATCGTTTACATTTGCGGCGCCTTCCAGCGCGCTGTTAGAAAGCTGCCATTACTTCATACTACACATTATCGTCGTCATCATCGTACACTCTGTGATGAATCTGTCAATTGTACGCCGACGTGAGTTTGGCCAATGCCTCCAAACTCTCACTGCTGGCGCTGCTGTGTGCCGAATCTACTCTCCTTCCACCAAGCTCTGCAAGCTTGATCCGTTCTCGCAGCGCCGCTATGCCGCGCGCTGCGAAATCCTTGCGACAAAACTTGCACATCCGAAGCGCACACCAACTGCAGCTGAAGTGTTCGGCATCGTCATCGATATGGCATACGGCACACTCAACTGGCGCATGCTTGTTCCTACTAAGCAAGAGTCGATCGTGACCACGATAACATTTGATTTGATTCAGCGTGAGGGGCCGTGTGTAGGCGAAGCCGGAGGACTTGAAGTTATGCCTCTTGCGTCGTCCTTCGGAGTCCTGTTGCGCCGTTGAGGGTCGTGACGGGGGCCGAGTCGAGGAAGGTCTCGACGTTCCATTGCTAGACCCAGTCACTCTTTCCCAGGAGCCATCTGTTGACTCTGCGTTATGCATAGCGGCGACCGATTCAGCGCGTCGTCGCGCTGTACTCAACCCATTGAGGAAGGAGGAAGCAGATTGCAGATTCTTGGCTTCCTAGGCAATGCGTCAGCATCCGATATAAGTCGTTCATCATCTTGACAGTGACATACATTGAAAAGTTCAGGTCCACTGCTTTTCCGTCTGGCTTTTGGCAGCGCAATATTCTCCGGCACGTCGGGCACCTCGGGTGTGTCAATCTCGTCTCTCAGTCCGTACTTGTGAGGACTGTCTTCGGGAAGAGGAGAAGGTGCTGGGATTGTCGGCGAGATGGTGGACAGGACGTCGACATCATCTCGGTCTGCATCAGGCTCGCTGATTTGAGGGGTATCGGCAATGGCGTTGTCCTCGCTGGGCTCGGTCGACCTGAGGTCGCGTATGGTAGTCGATGCACTAAGTGGCAGATGGGCTCGACTCTCTGTCACGGTGATGGTGGATGCCGAGTGCACCTTAGGACTGCACGGATACTGTCCGTCACAGTCCTCAGGTTGATCGAAAAATGGATCCGTTGGGACACTGACCAGACCGTCGCTGTCAGGGACACCGTCGTCTTTGCTGTGACCATCCCGATGCAATATCGACATGACACTGGCAGTGACGTCCCGTGGCAGCGGACTGCGGCTGTCAATTCGCTTGAAGACATTGAACGAGCTTTTTCTAGATATTGGCTTCGAGCTGCGCCGGACATGAACTACACTGCGCATCGACTTGTCGTCGGCGCCGTGATCCGCTACGTGACTGGAATGAGCGTTTCCCATGGCAGAAACGGCAAGAGGCGTTGTCGGCGTCGGTGGGGTCGGTTCTCGGTTGTCTGTTGGTACCTGTATGATCGCAGCGATGCCGTTTATGCAAGTGTCACATATTCGCTGCTTCAACTCTGGTGCTGAAAGTGCTGTACGGCCATTTGTATGTCTCAAGTTGAGAGATGCTGGACGATGTCTCGTTGGAGCCGAAGAACGTGGCAAACGTGCGGCTGGTAACTGAACTGTTGTGCTTGCCTTGATGGCTTGCGAACGTTCTTGCTGCGTTGACTCTGGATTGTGACGGCAAGCATGAAGTGCTCTTGCATCGTCTGCGAATCGATAGTTAGCTGCTTCCATTGGTAAGAGCAGTTTGGGCCAAGCCTCCCAACCAGAGCAAGTTCGGGAATGCTTCCGTTCAATGAACCTCTCGTGCTGGAGTGATGCTGGAGCTTGGGCAATCTTTACATTCATACCTGCAATCGCATGGATCTGATGAGCCTTCGGTCGCGATGCCGGAGTGACCGGTGGGAAAATATTGTTTGCCGTGGCATTGCATCGGCGATTGTGTCTGTCGCCAGATCTGGGGATCAACAAGTTGGATGGGGAGTCTCTTGAAGACAACCCGCGATGCCCCGGTATTTCTGGCATCATGATTGCATGCACGTCACGAAGAGTGCTGGAGGTGTGCCGGAGGCCATCAAGCACATGTATAAGGACTGAGGACTGCTTCGGAACGAGATAACCGCTGGCGTGATGGAAAAAAGTCAATGGATGGCCATAATATAACATTCGTGGCGAACCTTGGTCTGCTGCCCGAGATAGGTACCGTTGAATGGAACGAAATGTGCGTCTCCGCGAAACATTTAAACGGTGGCACTGCGGGCACAGCGGATGGAAGAAGCTGCAGCGAGCGAGCGTCACGGCCTCACAGAGCAGAGTGTGAATAATAATGGGTGTGAAACGTCTATCGCTGCTTGCGTCGCTCTGTGGCCCGACCTGCTTGCCATGCTGCGTGAACATCGGTATCAAGCCTTACAGTATCATTATGGGACAGGATGTCAGGATCCCTGCCCATATCCTATTAACTCAAATCCATGCGGCTTGCGGCTTGCCTTCAGCGTGCCAGGAAAGGCGACAGGTCACACCGTCACAGCATGCCCGCATGGCCCGGATCAGCAAGCAATGTGGAAAGAAGGGGAGTGGACAGAGGAGGTCGGCCTCTTCTGTCTGAGTTTGGCCCTGCACCGAAGCAGATTGCATCTGAGGACCGGCCCGCTTCAATGACACACGCTCACACGAATCGGAGCACATTCCAGGGTCATCTCGCTTGATCACCGCCTGCGCCGTGCGGTCAGGTCGGCCGCTTCCCGAGTTCCCTGCTTCACGCGGTGTGATAGAGGCAATGTATACAGGCGCACAGATACCGATATGATCAGCATGCAGAACTGCTGATCCAGTCTCGACTCTCAACGCCAAACTGGCCGTCCTCGCGCGGAGTCGGAGCATTCGAAAACCAGCAGATCGGCTCACATCTGCGTGCGGAAGCTCAAAATAGATCCGCCAGACATGACATCGTGACGACATCCGCACACGCCCGACACTGGCTTTCGCTGTGCGCAGAAAGCCCCCAGCAGCAGTCTGATGAGCATGCGTCGCTGCAAGGCAAGGCATGCCGCTGATGCGTATACCTTACACGGCGCCTCTGCCTAGTCCTACAATATTGCCTGCAACTGCATCGTCAATTGACGGCGCAGTGGAAGCGCTCCAAAATTTCCTCTCACGCAACGTCGACAGAACCGCGGGTGGCAAGACATTGATCCTTTCTGGAGCTGGGATTTCAGTCGCCTCTGGACTAGCAGACTATCGAGGCAGCCAGGGAACATACACATTGAACAAGACCTACCGGTAAGTGAGGCATGCGGCACCCCCACGTGAAACACACCAGGTCAGAGCTCATTGAACGCTTAGGCCAATCTACTTCCACGAATTCACAGCCAGCCACGAGGCACGAAAGCGGTATTGGGCACGTTCTTTTCTAGGCTGGACGACGTTACACCGGAGCACACCCAATGCCGCACACCATGCCGTTGGACGGCTAGGAAACCTTGGCTATGTCGGGAAAGTAATAACACAGAACGTTGACTCCTTTCACCAAAAGGCACACCCTAACTTGTCCAGCCTCGAGCTGCACGGATATCTACGCAGTACCGTCTGTTTGACATGTCGGACCGAGTATGATCGGGGCCACTTCCAACAAGACTTATCTCGTATGAATCCGCAATGGGCATCATTTCTCGCAGAAATGCTGGAGAGCGGTGCTCTGAGCACCGAACATCCCTCCGAGAGGCGGCTGCTCGGACTCAAGACGAATCCAGACGGTGACGTGGATGTTCCTGGTGTTGAATACAGCAGTTTCAGATATCCGCCCTGTCCGAAGTGTCTCAACGATACAGCTTTGGCCAAAGCAGGCAAGATGGTCATCACAGACGATGACGGGGCTTGGGCGGCAGGAAGCAATGCGGGAGTTCTCAAACCAGCTGTGATCATGTTTGGAGAATCAATCTCCAATCCTGTCAAAGTGGCGGTGGAATCCGCTATCGATCATTCGAGCAGTATGCTCATACTCGGCTCTTCCTTGGCGACATACTCAGCCTGGCGATTAGTGAAGAGAGCGAAAGAGCAGGGCAAAGCAATTGCTGCCGTGAACATAGGCGGCCTCAGAGGCGAGGAGCAGTTCTTCGCCGACGTGGCAGCAGATGGTGACGGGGCCGATGGCGTCAGATGTAGCTTGCCGTTGGAACAGGTCCTACCAGCGCTCGTAGATCACATTGAACATCTCGATCCAGTCCGGAGGCCTTTCCAGCCTGCTCCCTGGCGTTGATGAAGACAATAGAAACTTCAAGCATGAACTATCTCCGTTACGGTCTGTAGCCTGTGCGACATGTGCAATAGTGTGAGCCTGTGCGAAGGGAGGATAATGCCAAAGCTCTATGCCACGGTCTCTCCTGTTACATGGGTTGTGCCGCTCACACCCGCCATAAAGTCCCGATATCTGAAGACGTCGCCCTTCATCTTGCCAGAGCTGAGACCCTTGGTACCAAAGGCTCTTCGACCAGTGAACTCGCCAAGGATATTGTCCACCTCCCTCTCACTGAGCCGGACATTGTCCTCTCCAGGCTGAGGCGCTGTGTGCAGCAAAGCATCTCGAAGCACGGATATGTCGATCTGGCCACTATCGTCTACATCGAAAGCCTCAAAAGCTGCCCTGAGCTCCTCGGGTTGCGACAAATCCGACAGCGGACCAGAGAGTACTTCTAGGTATCGTGCCAAATTGAGCTGGGCTGGTCCATTGGGCGGAAAGAAATCCTTCAATGCCTTGGTGTTGTTTTCCAGACCGAGCTGTGATAGCATCTCTGACACAGAGGCAGAGTTCAATGTGCCGGTGTTGTTGCTGTCCAAAACCTCGAATGATTCCCTCATGCTGTGCAGCAAAGGCTGGGGTATGTGATTATATGCCCCTCCTCCCACAGCGTTCAACTTGGGCGCTGCAATCCTCGGTTGCGAAATGCTGAACATTGGAGGTTTCACGGTTGCCGCTGTCGAAGAAGTGATGTTTCGCTTGGCAGTCGGCCGCAAGTTGGCCTGGCTTGGAGGGACGTAATAATCTGAATCTTCAGGATGGTCTTCTACTGAAGGCTTCGCGCCATCGTATAGGATGGAAGAGCTGGTGCCGTCGAACACAATAGGAGAAGATGGAGTGAGTCCGGGTGTAGTAGTCTCCTCTGGAGCTGGTGGTAGGCTTGCCTTGCGGGCTGGTGAGGCAGGAGAAGCGGTTGCATTGGGAGTCGAGTCGCGCTGGCTTGCGGCACTGGGCTGACGCGAAGGCGAAGAGAATACGCTCAAACTGCTTGTCGGTCTCGCGAAGGGACTCGCCGGGCGCTCGGAAGCATTGCTGATCTGGCTCGGTCGTCGCCCAAACGGACTGGTCTTTTCGGGCGACAGCGACGAGCCTGCCTTTGTCGGAGAGAGCGAGGGCGGAAATGCCTTCTTGGTGGGCGAAGTTGTTTGGGTCGCGCCGCGGATTGTCGAGGCTGTTGCGGGTGACTGGCTGTTCTGTCGTCGAAAGGGAGATTGTCTGCCTTCGAAGGGCGACAGTTGTGCAGACAGGCGATTTGGATTCTGCGAGGCCTGGCGGAGTCTGTGAGTGAGCATGCGATATCAGAGTCATTTTCAACTTTTCTTACCATCTTGTGTCAGACTTCACGGTCTGAAGCAAATTGGCCTTCGTATGTAGATGTAGCATGTAGCATGTAGCATGCGGGTGCTGTGCAGTTGACGCGATCGCGTGGGGGAACCCTGGCGTCAACAGTCTGAGGTTGACGCGGTGACAAGAGATAAGCTTTCGAACCCTGCATGACTCGATTCAGGAACCGAGGTGGGGAATCGGGCATCCACAAGAACAGGCCGTATACAGCATCCATTCTCACGCTGCTGTCCTGCTGGATGCCTAGAGGGTTCCTCGCAGAAGAGAGGAGACGCACAGCACAATGGCAACAGTGCTGCCTATCAGGCCGAACACCAACTCGACCGGCTCCTCGGCCTCGCGACGCCATCCTTCTCTGATTTCCTTCCCATCGCATACAACCTCAGACCCAAGCAACAACTTGCAAGTCAATCACCGGCACACGCATTCCAACAACTCTCACCAGTCCAGCCGCAACAGCTATCACTCCTCGCTCTCCGCCACAAATTCACAGCCTCCCCATGCTCGCCCTCTGCACAAGCAGCCTCCTCGGCGCAAGGCGAAACCGGTCAAGTCGCAATATCCTCCTGACAGTAGCGAAAAACATGTCGAATACATTCTCGTGGCCTCCTTTGACATTGACCGGGGGAGTATTATGGAGCATCAGTATCCTGGCCCTGTAGGTGGAGACGAGCACATGCTGGCCGAACTCATGCTTCCCGACCAGGCGCATTCGAGAGCTCAGGATTGGACGATCTTCTTCTTGCACAAGGACGCAGGTCTAGACGATGAGGACCAAGAGGCAGTGCGTAGACGTCGGAGACGCAGGCGGAAGGGTCTTGCTGAAGACGAGGATGATGAAGAAGACGCCGTGAGCGGGGCGGAGTTCGACGAGGACGGACCCCAATTCGGCGAAGAGGACGACGACGATGAATCCGACGACGTGGCGCTCGACGGTCCTCCTCTGGTCTACGTCCTCAATTTGGTCAATACGAAGCATGACACTTCAGTCAAACGCGGTGCGGTTGTGAAGGCTATGGCAATCTGCACAAGACACTCCTTCTTGCATATCTACAAGCCTCTTCTGCTTCTCGCCCTGGAGCAATACTTCGCAAATCCGCAGATCGAAACTCTGGCCAGTCTCTACAATGCGGTGAACAGCATGGACCTGTCTCTGCTGCCGAAGCTGAACTTCCTGGAAAAGTACATATTACAGGCTACTGATGCCAAAGACCTCTTTTTGGAAAAGTTCGAAGCAATAATTTCCCAAAGGATGACCGAGAACATGGCTAAGGAAGGCGCACTGCCGCCTCTCGAGCAAGCCACCAGCACTGCTCAATTGCAGTCCAAGACCCGTTATGGCTTGCCTCGTGACACGCATGAATTTGAAAGCATCGTCCATTATGCCAACATTCCTGTGCCAGTCAAGATCCCAACAGCAGTCAGCCCCGAGACAGTCGGGGACTTCAGCTTGATCAAGCTGATCACTACCTTCAGCACTCCTCATTCGACACAGGCGGTGCCGTTCACACCAACTCACCCACATCTAACGACCTCTGGCGCCGCGACTCACCCCATCATCGTCCTTTTGAACGCGCTCTTGACACAAAAGCGTGTCATATTCCTCGGCCACGGTTTACCTAGCTCCGAAGTGGCAGAAGCAGTCCTCGGCGCCTGTGCACTTGCATCTGGCGGCCTGCTGCGAGGCTTCACCCGACACGCCTTTCCATACACGGACCTGACCAAGATTGACGATCTGTTGAAAGTACCAGGCTTCATTGCAGGCGTGACCAATCCTGCATTCGCCTTGAAAACTGAATGGTGGGATCTCATGTGTAACCTCAGCACAGGGCGCATGACAATTTCCAATCGCATAGAGCAAGCACCTTTGACTGAGGGCGTTGCATTCTTCCATCAGAACACACATCAACCAGGCACTATCGCAGCAAGTGGTGGAGGGGGCATTGCATCTCTAGTCTCAGCTGGTGCAAGCCTGTCGGCAGGTCTCGGAGGTAATGCCCTTCCAACCGGAAGCATGGCAGGTGATGCAACAGGAGATGGTGCATTCATGCAAAGTGTCCTGTCAGCAATCAATGAACGACACGGCGAGACTGCCATTCGCAGCAAGTTCCGCAAGTGGGTCGTTAAATTCACCCGGCTGGCATCCAGCTTCGAGGAGACCGTGTATGGGGCAAGTGCGCTGCACATTCACAATGCGGATAGCCCCCAGACAACGTACCCGGCTTCAGAGATGTCGCCTATCAGTCCTGGCGAGCAGCGAGGCGAACAGCTTCCTCCGGAGGTCACTGGTCACGGGTATGTGTGGCCGACACCGCAGAGCAAGAATAATGAGCTGGCAGCAAATTCGACACGCATCGAGGGATGGCGAAATACTCGCAGCTACTACAATTTTGTCCGGGACTTGGCTGCGCATTACGTGCATCGACCAATCAAACATTTGGACCTTCAACACTTGCATGACAAGCTGGCCAAACTACGTTTAGGTCATGAGCAAAGTGCCAACATCTATCTTGCGATATGTGCTGCCGTGCATACAGAGCAAGAGATCAGCCAACTCCTGTCAGTGGTTGCGATTGGAGTATGGGAGAATAAGGCGACTACGTCTGGGAGTGGACAGAATTCAGGTCTCCTATACATCGGCATGGGCCTCTTCCATCCTAGGCAGGATGTCAGAGAGGAGGTCGCTGAACTGATGGGGAGGATTCGCGAACACGAAGCTGGCCGACACTTCTGGTCGACGATGGGCAGATATATCCGCGTTGGATTCGAGAGAGTGATGAACGCTAGAGTTGATCGGATTGAGAAGACTGGTGTGGAGCACGACAGCTGAAAAGGCGTGGCTCTGTTGTTGACAATGATCTATCTCCTTGCACGCCTGCGCCCAAGATACCCACAATATGAATGACCATTTTGACGAATTTTTGGTGCGCGGCGCCGAAACAGTGGTGAATGTGTTCAAGTAATTGAATGTTCGAGGAAGCAGTAGGTAGGACAGGACAGCAGCGGCAGGTCCAGCCGTGAACACCCGACAAACTAGCGGAGTGGAAGCCGAGCTTAAGAAAAGTTTGGGAAGCTGCAACTCCCTTCTCTATGATGATGATCCCATTGCTTCAAATTCTTCCAATCCATCAATGTGTACAATAGTGTTGGGTGCGGTTCTTCTGTAGCTTTAATTCCTTTCATCATCCAGATTCGGTCCGCTCCCTTCGAACAGATTGTCCATCGGTTTGCTAGAGAAGCAGAGAGAGCATGGCCGCCAGCGATGCTTTGACGAACGGTATGTATGCATCCACGCAGCCTTCATCTCGGTCCAGCAGCGGGCCATGGGCATTTCCTGCAGGCCGATCATCAAGCTGACAACTCGCCTACGCACAGCCTCTGACTCGACGCGAACATCGACGAAACCAGACGCAAACAACGCTCACGCGACTACCGACTCCAATGCTCAATCCAATGCCAATGCCAATGCCGCTCTGACCAACGGAACTTCTGGAAATGTCTCGAAGGAGCATGACAAGGAAGATGGAGATAGGGATGGCTCGGGTGCGGCGGATGATAATGTCTTCCAGCTGACCATCAAGCTGCCTCATGCGCCGGGTCAAACACAGATCATGGTGTCGAGCCAGGAACAGGTGCAGGATATCCGACAGTCAATTGTCGAAACCCCACACACCTTCCAGTACTCGTGCTTTCACCTTGAGCATCAGGGCAAGCGCATCAATGATTTCATCGAGCTGTCCGAGGTCGCTGGCATTGTTGAAGATCCGACTTGCCAGCTTGTCGAAGATCCTTATACCGAAGCACAGGCGCGCATGCACGTTGTTCGTGTCCGGGAGTTGATCGGTGCCGCTGGCGACAGACCAGACCTGGTCGCAGGGATTGATGCTGGCGTGAGTCTTTGTGACAGCGTGGAGATTTCGGCTGCTAGCAACGAGCGAGATCCAAGCCCCGTTGCCGACTACGACCTCGATGAGCCAGCTCCGATAGCAACGCTTCTTGCTCGAAGTCGCGATCCAGCGCCGAAAACCGTGAAAAGCATCGCACTCTCCTCTTGGAACCCTCCGCCGTACCACCTTCGAATGCGTGGTCACCTCATCTACCTTCAAGTCGTTACTAACGAGGGCGAGCAATTCTACATCACCTCGCACGTCTCCGGCTTCTACGTCAACAGGTCCACAAACCACAAGTTCGATCCTGCGCCTCGGAGCGAGCCAAAGAGCGCCTCTGCACATTCTCTGATCAACCTACTTTCCCAGATTTCTCCATCATTTGAGGAATCATTCAAGCAACTTCAGGAATACAATGGTCGAAGAGATCCGCTCGCCAGCTACGCCTTGTCCAACAGCATTCCAGCCGCTCCGTGGCTTGTGGCTCCTTCCTCCATTCATCAGCACCAATCTGATCTCACCCGTACCCAAGAGGCCTTCCTTTTGTCTGGTGCTGAGAACGCCGACACACTACGCGACTGGAATGAAGAATTCCAATCCACTCGTGAATTGCCCAAGGAAACCGTCCATGATCGCATATTTCGCGAAAGACTTACCAGCAAACTGTTTGCAGAGTACAACGAAGCGGCCGTCCGCGGTGCATGCCTAGTGGCTCGAGGCGAAGTCCAACCGTTGAACCCCACAGAGGCCAAAGATGCTCAGATTTTTGTGTACAATAACGTGTTCTACTCGTTCGGTGCAGATGGCGTTGGCACTTTCGCGAGCGACGGAGGGGATGAGGCGGCGAGAATCGCAACTGGCAAGGACGTACAGGGAGTCAAAGCGGTGAACCAGCTGGACATAAATGGTCTATTCACGCCAGGTACGGTTGTGGTGGACTACATGGGCAAGCGTGTTGTTGGGCAGAGCATCGTGCCTGGTATTTTCAAGCAGCGCGAGCCCGGCGAGCACCAAATAGACTATGGTGGTGTCGAGGGCAAGGACGTTATCGCGACCCATGAAGAATTCGCCCAACCATTCAGCGAGCTTAGCAAGGCGATGCGTGTCAAGAAGCATGCTGTGTGGGACAAGGAAGGCAAAAAGCATGAGCTTGAAGCCAGTGTCGAGACCAAAGGTCTTATGGGTACCGATGGGAGGAAATACGTCCTCGACCTCTACCGAATCACGCCTCTCGACATTGCCTGGCTGGAGAAGCACTGTGCCGAGGACCAGGCTGAGGAAAGCCGTTATCCCCATCGCATGACTGTTCTCCGACCTGAACTTGTGGAATCTTTCAGGATCAAGAAAATGCGAGAATACGTTACCTCCCAGTTGGAGCAGAAGCGAAGCGAGCGCGAGCAAGCCGCTGCGGGTGCTTCAGAAGACAAAACAGAAGAATCTGGCAAGACCGACACCCAGGAATCTGAGACTAATGGTGAGGTAGTTCCCAAAGAAGAAGACGGTGCAAATCCACAAGAGCAGCAGGAAGCCGTCGACATGTCTGGTTTCACATTCTCTCTCAACCCCGATGTGTTCAGTGGCCAGCTGCCACAAACGGATGCTGATAGGGACGAGTGGGCTCAAGATGAAGTTCAGGTTCGAGCTCTTGGCGAGTACCTCACCGAGGATGTGATACCTCGACTTGTTCGCCATTTGCAGGAGGGTGATGTCGGCTTTCCCATGGACGGGCATAGCTTGGTCCGCGAGATGCACCGACGTGGTGTCAATGTCCGCTACATTGGCGATGTGGCAAGGCTTGCTTCCGAGAAGACGGACAAGCGACTGCAAGCACTGGCGCAGCTGTGTCGCCAAGAGATGGTCAGCAGAGCCTTCAAACACATCAGCAACGGCTATCTTCGGGTGCTTCCACCTTGCTTCGTGCAGAGCGCGGTCGCACACCTGCTGAATTGCCTGCTCGGTACGCAACTCAATGCAAAGCCGCATGCAGAGGTCGACGAAGACCTCAAGGCGCTATATCCAGAAGTGTCATTTGACTACCAGAAAGAAAGCCCCGAAGGCCTTAGCACAAGCATTCGTCGCCAAATCTTGTTGCGCTACAGGTACGAGTTGCAGGATGAGCTTGTGCCGCCCGGCCGAGAGCTGCAGGCACTTCGTGAGATATCGAAGAAGCTTGGCTTGCAGCTCGAGGCGAAAGACTATCTCTTCACCAAGGAAGGGGTGGCCGCATCCACCAAGTTGGCGGAGAAGAATTCCTCTGATTCTCTAGCCGAACCTCAGGCAAACGGCAATCATTCCACGGGCAGCAAGAAGAACAAGAAGAAGAACAAGCAGGCCGAGAACTCGCCGAACCGGCAGGCTTCCTCCCCAGTCGGTGCTCCATTGACCTTCCGCGCAGATGACATCGTCAACATAGTGCCTCTCGTAAAGGAGGCATCGCCGAAGAGCACACTTGCCGAAGAGGCGCTTGATGCGGGCAAAATGAGCATTCAGCAGGACCAGAAAGAGCTCGGTCAAGAGCTGCTTTTGGAGAGTTTGAGTCTACACGAGCAGATCTACGGCATTCTGCATCCGGAAGTGGCCAGAGTGTATTACGCACTTTCAAACCTCTATTTCAACCTAGATGAGAAGTCGGCCGCCGTCGAGCTCGCCAAGAAGGCTGCCATTGTGTCGGAGCGGACACTGGGTGTTGACGACGCCGAGACTATCCTTGCATATCTCAATTTGAGCTTGTTCGAGCATGCCACTGGCAACACTAGAAGCGCACTTGCGTACGTGCGACATGCCTTGAATCTATGGAAGATCGTCTACGGTACCAGGCATCCAGATTCGATCACAACCATCAACAACGCAGCGGTCATGCTACAAACGCTAAAGCAATTTCACGAGTCTCGGTTGTGGTTTGAAGCGTCACTCACCATCTGCGAGGAGGTGGCTGGTAAGCAGTCCATCAACACTGCTACGCTCTTGTTCCAGCTCGCGCAAGCTTTAGCTCTCGACCACGACTCCAAGCAGGCTGTTTCTAGAATGCGCGAGAGCTACAGTATTTTCAAGAGCGAACTGGGACCAGAGAACCAGAACACGAAGGAGGCGGAGAACTGGCTGGAGACTTTGACGTACAACGCAGTCAGTCAGGCAAAGCAGGCCAGTATCTTGCAGAACCGCCGGATCCTGCTGCGCAACGGCAGGACGTCGCGTGTGCAAATGGGCACGCGGCCCCAGCCTCCAGTCGGACAGTCGGAGGTGGTGCAGCCGAGCACGCCAGTGAAGACACGGGCTGGAGTCGACCAGCGCAACGTTGACGAGTTGATCAAGTACATCAACGGCGAGGGTAGCAGCAAGCAGACAACGGCAAAGAAGCAGCAGGCGAATCCTAAGCGGAGACAGCAGAGGGCGTGATGGGTGATGCGGCATGTGTACATTGATTGTTTCGCGGTTTTGCATGGACCGGTGTATATATAAACAGGCAAGATGTGCTCCCAGAAGGCTACGAGGGCCTGCCTCAGCCTCGGCGGCATGGGCATGGGAGCTGGACGGGGTGGCATCCAAAAGAACTGGCGGGGGTGTTGCGGATTGCTATTCGATGACCTCCACTCTTGTACAAATGCTAGACATGTAAACATACATGCAGCACGCATGCTGGACGCTGCTGCAGCGATTGCACAGGAAAAGTCGTAGAAGCTTCTCAGCAGACGCACTGTCCTCCTTCCCAGGCCAGGGCCTCAGGACACGCAAGCTTGGTCAGCATCCTTCACTCTTCCCATCTGCTTCACTGTTGTACATATCTGTGCTTCTCGACCCCCTCACCTGCACCTTTCGGCTCGCCATCAGCATCAGCGGCTCAAGTCGTCGAGCACGTGAGCTCACTTCAGCTAGAAGATTCTCAGGCCAATCAGTTTCGCCATACTGAGACGGCTTCCTGCAGCGTCTGCCGTCTGCCGGCCCGTTCACACTTTTGAACCAGTTTCTTGTACGACGCCAGCTTAATCCCGGTGCGTGGTGTGTGAGCGCCGTCGGAAGGCGTGAGACTTTGCATTGTCCCGCCCGCTAGCGTAGGAAACATCTGATCTGCGAGGAGTCTGAGTCGATGCCGTCGTTTTTCTCCAAGACCAAGAGTCACCCCAAATCTACCACCACCAGCAATTCCCTCCCCGCCGAGCCGGCAGACGACAGCAGCAATCTCAGTGACAGGAGCGGCGAGGCGGTGCGGACCCCGTCTCCCGAGAAAAAGTCCAAGTCGTATTTTGCGCGAGAGCGGGAAAAGAAGGAGCGCCCGTCTTCTCGGTCCAGGAAGTCGGTTCAGCGAGACAAGAAAGCTTCCGACATAGACACACACCCGCTGAACCTGCCGCCGGACGAACTGCGCCGTTTGAGTGCGCTGTCCGTCATGAGTTCGCCGCGCGAGAGGGACAGTGGAGGCGTCCCTGTCACATCAGAGCCCATGGAGACCACGCCAGCTCCAGAGACGCCGCCGCCTGCCTCAGCCTCGACCTCCACGCCTGGTGCCTTCCCCAGCAACAGCAGCGCCAGCGCCGCCAATGGGGTGAACGGCGAGAACCATATGGACGATCACGACCACGAGCAGAGACCCACCCCGCCTCCGCATCGCACGCCCGCCAGTCCGCCGCCACAGCCTGAAATTCGACCAGAGGAGGCCGAGAAGTTCAAGGCGGAGGGCAACAAATTCTACAAGGCCGGCAAGTATGCTGCTGCCATTGATGAGTACAGCAAGGGTTCGTGACCATCCATCACTGACTGACTCTGGCTTTCCATGCTGACTTGTAGCATTTGCAGCCATTGAGGCCAACCCGACATCAGCCACTTACCTTTCGAACCGAGCTGCCGCATACATGGCGGCCAACAAATACCCCGAAGCGTTGGAAGATTGCAAGCGAGCCGACGAGTTAGAGCCGGATAACCCAAAAATATTGCACAGACTTGCAAAGGTACACACAGCGCTCGGCCGCCCGCAGGAAGCTCTCGATACCTACGACCGCATCCAACCTGCGGCTACAGCCAAGGACAAGGCTCCTGCGGTGAGCATGAAGAAGCACTTGGAAGAGGCACAGGACAGTATCAAGAATAGCACAAGTGGGTCCATGGTGAACTTTGCGCTGGATCAGGCTGAGAAGGCTCTTGGCTCTAGCGTTCAGCCTCCGCGGAAATGGCGACTGATGAGAGGTGAGGCATACTTGAAAATGGGTACCGTAAACAGCCTCGGAGATGCTCAAAACGTGGCGATGTCTCTATTACGGCAGAACAGTGCCGATCCGGAAGCTTTGGTGCTGAGAGGACGAGCGCTCTATGGTCAAGGAGATAACGAGAAAGCGATACAGCATTTCCGGCAGGCCATCTCCTGTGACCCTGATTACAAGGATGCTGTTAAGTGGCTACGGACGGTACAAAAGCTGGACAAGATGAAAGAGGAAGGTAATACCAATTTCAAGACCGGCAGGTACCAGCAGGCTGTGGAAGTCTACACAAAAGCCCTCGAAGTTGATCCGTCGAACAAAGGCACGAACTCGAAAATCCTCAACAACAGAGCTATGTGCTACAGCAGGCTAAAGCAGTGGCAGCAGGCTATACAAGACTGTGACAGAGCTCTTCAGCTGGACCCGAGTTATGTCAAGGCCCAGAAGACGCGCGCTAAAGCATTGGGCGAAAGCGGCGACTGGGACGAAGCCGTCCGTGCATACAAGAACATTGCCGAGCAACATCCAGAGGAGCCAGGCATTGCGAAGGAAGTTCGCAATGCAGAATTAGAGCTGAAGAAGAGTAAGCGAAAAGATTACTACAAGATTCTCGGAATCGAGAAAGACTGCACCGACAACGAGATCAAGAAGGCCTACCGGAAACTTGCCGTCATCCACCACCCAGACAAGAACCCGGACGATCCAGAAGCGGAGAACCGGTTCAAAGAGATTCAGGAGGCTCACGAGACCCTGATCGATCCTCAAAAACGCCAAAGATACGACAGTGGTGTCGATCTGATGGAAGATGGCGGAATGGGCGGATTCCCAGGCGGTATGGGTGGTGGCTTCGGCGGTGGTGGGGTCCAGATAGACCCCGAGATGCTCTTCAACATGATGGGAGGCGGCGGCGGGGGTTTCAGATTTGCTGGTGGCTCGCCCTTTGGCGGTGGTGGTATGGGAGGTGGCCAGAGAGGTGGATACTCGCCTTTTGGCTGAGCACAACAACTGGCAATTTCAAGCAGCATGAATTGTACAGCTGGCGCGTTTTGATGAGGACAACCACTCCATCGGCATTTCTCGGTGTCAATCAGGGGCTGGAAACGGCTTCTTATAGAATTGATAGACAGCGACTGTCGCGGCAGCCATCACCAACATGTACATCACTACATCGCAGAGAAGCATGCGATATCTGCCATCTTCCAACCAGCCTGCGCTGCGCTTTCGCATTGCCTGTGTCTTAAGACTAGGGATGTTGGAATACAGCTTTCTGTAAATGCAGGCTCTGTACACTGTATAATACACTGGTGGACACCAGTATACATATGTCGGCCCCACCCGGATACTAAGATATCTGAGGATTATCGAGTAGCCTAGCCGGCTGCAGGCAGGATATCAGCGTATCCGATAACTCCTCATTGTATGTACACACCAGCTAAATTTTCCGCCCCTGCGTACATAGTGTATTACAGAGCGTGTACCCATACACATGTATGTGTAGCTCCATCACTACTTAAGACTTGAGGCCTCTTAGAGCTTTAACGTCCGATTTGCCAAGCGAGATACGAAAGCCAAGCCCTTGAGCGCAGCGTGAGCCAATCGCGTCGGAAGATATCCATGTCATGAAGGATGCTCGCCGCACACCAATCGAACTCTCTTGACTTAATTTCAGCCGCACTGCTCGGAAGAGCATTCTGCTCGCTGCTTGTAGGAAGGCTGGAGAGGTGCCGTGCTTTATGGAGGTTCCGAGAATAGCAGGAATGTCGGAACGTCCATAGCCAAGTCTGATGGTCACTTGGTACATGGCGTCGTCAGGGCACGATGGATGGCAGAGTAAGTCTCAGCACCTCTCACTCCTTTCTCCTCGCATCTTCTTCTCGACTGAAGCCACATTCGCGAAATCCATTATTCAAAGCACTTTTGCTCGCCAGCTCGCTTGGTTGGAGTCTGGCGGCACCTCCTCCAAGCCCCGGATCATACGAAGACGACGACACATGGACGTACGGCAAGCCAGGTGTCTCGCCTGCCGCGACAACCTTCGCTAGCTACTACAGCGCCGGCAATAGCACATCATCAGGATGTTGGACGGGAATGCCAGCGCCCGTCATGCAGACGATGAAAACACAGTCTAGCTTATTGAAACCTACGAGATCATCCGGGCCATGGATTCCAAAAATGCCACAGACTATGAAAAGCGATCAAAGTCTAGATGGACCTGCCTCGTACATACCTGTGACCGCACATGTCGAAAACCCAAACACTATCCTCAGCGAGCCTGCGAACAACTCTCCTACTCGATCCACGCCCAAAGTCGAGACTACTGTCGCTCCGACCTACTTCTCACCCAGGACTCACGTCAGCGAAACATCCTTGGACGTCCCGTCGAACACTGCGCCACCGATTGCCTACACTCCCGTAACCGGACATCCAGAACCAAGTCTGAACGTGCCGAACAACCCAACCCCAACACCCACAAAGCAAAGTCAGATCCTTCCAGACGAGGCGCCGCAGCCAGGAGCCGTTCTCGTCTCCATAGTTTCGCTTATCAACAGTGTCACCAAGGACTCCCACTATGTCTTTGAAGGCCAGACAATCGCTCCTGGCTCTACCGGTGTGGTGGTGGAAGGTACGACATATTCTGTCGCTCCCACTGGCGGCGCTGTGGTGTATGTGAATGGTGTGGAGACTGCAGCGAGTGCGATCCCAGGGCTTGACAGGGACAATGGGGGGTCCGTAAGCGGCATTGGTGGATATGGCGAGGACGGTGAAATCACGAGTGGCATATCCGCTTCGACTGCGGTGTCGATAGCAAGTGGTGAGAGTCCGAGCACGAGCACCTTCACGCCTGCACAGCAAACTACTTCTGGTGGTTCCAGAGCGGTACGGATTTCGAGTGCTGGTTTAGGATTGGCGATGCTAGTCTGCATGATTTTGTGAATCGCAGGTTTGGTGATGGATAGATAATGCGTAGTGTAGCGTACAGGCGAGTGTCGAGTTGAATGCATGGTGTAACGAGGACAGTCAGATTCAGAAGTAATTGCGCAGTGCAGGAAGGAATTAATCAACCTCAAAAAGGCATTCCAATTCCAAACCTTTTTTCTTTTCTCTATCTTCAACCTTGCATATAGGTCGTCTAGTCTAGTCGAGTCTAATTCTATTCTATTGGTGAGAATGATGGGTATCTCTCATGCCGAAAAACGCCTTCGTCACTGTCCAGCAGGATACCAGCAGAGCCCGCGACTGTAGTCCTTGAGACCAGCTCCTCATCTGCCACAGACTTGCTGAGGGACGACGGTCAACACTTCTTACGCGCCAGCGCCATCCTGCCTCATAGCTCCAGATTTCTCATCCTCATCACTGTCCTTGATCTCGCCACCAGATTCCTCATCACTCGACATGGCGCCATATTCCCTTGCCTTGGCCTTGACCTCGTCTTCAGTGAGATATGGTAGTTCTTTAGCAGCACGAACGTAGCTCATGTTCTCGAGATATCCTTTGGCGAAGATCAAGTCGATTTCCTCGAGTGATCGTCCGGATGTTTCTGGGTAGAAGAAGTAGATGATGGGGAAGAAGATGGCGTTGAGCACAGCAAACTTTGATGATTTCGGTCAGTAAGTGGATGTGTGCGTGAGTCATGAGGTTTTCGAGTACGTACGAAGAGATAAGTTCCCCAGCCGATACTGTCGATGAGTACTGGAGTGATCATGACGATGAAGAAGTCTAGGGTTCATTTCGGTCAGTATACATGCACGGACTTGGGAGTCTAAATTTTCTGGAACTCACTCCACAGCCAGTTCGACACAGTGGAGACGGCGTTTGCCTTCGCTCTGGTCTTCAACGGGTTAATTTCAGCTGGGTACAGCCACGGCAGAGGTAACCAGGTCGCTCCGAAGAACGCGATATAGGTGAAAAGACCGACAGCCGCTCCCTTTGCAGCTGATTCGGTGCCAGGGATCAGAGCTCCGAAGGTGAGGACCATTGACAAACATTGTCCGACTGTGCCGATAAGGTACAACTTGCGACGGCCAACGCGCTCGACTGCAAAATGGGTATCAGCGTCAGCAGATGTCTTTAGCGGTCAAAAAGGATTCTCGAGTACCTGCGAACCACGAAGTTGTGGCGAAGATGGAGTAGACGACCATGTTGATGCCTCCGAGCAGGAGTGCCATGTTGTGCGTGACACCGATCGAGTTTTGAAACAGAATCGGGAAATAGTAGATGACAGCATTGCAACCTGTTCGAGCGTGGTCAGTCGAGTGAATCGGCGAAGAGGCCAACTTCATTGCATACCTCCCAGCTGCTGCATCATTTGAGACGAAGCTCCAAGCAAAAGGCGACGGAAATGTTGAGTCTTTCCATTAGTGAAGATGGCGCTGATTGGCGTGACACCGCCTTCGTGACCCGCAGCCTTCATGGCATCGACGATCACGGCCATCTTGGTTCGCGTCTCAATATCGTCAACAGGTTTGCCGGAAAGGGCAGCAATAACCGTCGAAGCCTCCTCGTGTCGGTCGTGAGAAAGCAACCATCTTGGAGATTCCGGGAGTCGCAACATCAAGACAATGACGATGATGGCAAATACGCATTGGAACGCGATGGGGAATCTCCAAACCATGTCATGAGGTCCGTACAGACATCCGTAGTCTATCCAGTACGCGATGAGAGTTCCAATAGCCACGTTTCCACCCTCGATGCAGATGAGCTTGCCGCGGTTGTCAGATCGACTGCATTCTGCTTGATAAGAGGGCACAGTCGAAGTGTTGATTCCATTGCCGATGCCTGTTATGCAACGTCCGATGATGAATTGAGAAGTAGCTCCCGCTCCGACCGGCACAGCGGCGATCTGTATGATGACTCCAACAATCATAACCGATGCGCCCAGAAAGATAGACTTGCGCCGGCCCAGCCAGTCGCCGAATGTGAGAATGAAGCAGGCTCCTAGAAAGCAGCCAACCGCATAGATGGCTGTGACAAAGCCTTCGTAGGTGCTGCCTCCGTGTTCGACTTCAGGGAAATCATGCAAGAAGTTCTCAGAGGAAATGATACCGCTCATCACACCCTACAGCCGCCTAGAGTGTCAGTCTGTGCGGATTTGTTGGGAGGTCCGTGATCCCGGCCGAGGCGCAGCCTTACCTGATCGTATCCGAAGCTAAAAGCAAGAGTCAGCACTTGTGAGCATCTCGTCGAAAATTGGCTTGGTATACTCACAGCAAGAAATCGGTGGTCGCAACAGCAGTGATCATCATTTGCAGTTTTCGTCCTGATGCGCCCCAGTAAGTGGGCACACCCGCAGCGTTGGCAGAGACAGTCATGGTGGCTGCTCCAGAATATGTTGATCGGTCGGGGGAGGGGAGGAATGGGAGAAAGATGCCACTCTCCAAAAAAATGATTGCTGGACTCCAGGCTGGACATATAAGTGCGGACACTACGGCCAAGGAGAAACAGCCGGCCACTGCCAGTTCACGGGGCAGTCAGGATGCTGGTGAGCTCGTGTGGCCCACATGTCTGCTTGGGCGTGGGTATGCCCAGCGCAAGAGATTGTTAGGATGCATGCCGTCAGCGCATTGTTCAGCGGCCGTCATGTACGACGTTTCGCCGTGTCGGGTTCCCCAACTGAATTGTTCGTTGTCCCGAAGTCAGTGGAGACTGCGAAGGGTAGGCCCATGGGTGAGTGCACGGTGGTGGAGGAAGCCTGAGGCCCTTGGCCATAGAATAGGCCAGAGGAAAAGTGGATGCTTGCCATGCACAAGCCAACCCTTGTTGTCAAATAAGACGCGCTCCAAGCTCGCCCAAGTGGTGAAAAGTCGCTCCGAATCATGAACCATCATCACAGACCGTGCATGCTGCTTGACGTAGAGCCGCAATCAGCGTCATTGGCATCCACTCAGGCTGACCAACACCGCCGGCGCTTGTTCGGCAGTCTTCTCGGGGTGCTCCTGTACATCAACAAATTTGTGAAGAAATATTCATGCCTGCAGACACGCGAAAAGTCGCATCTCTCGGATTCCATTCTAGGATACACTTGCGAAGTCAGATCATGTCTCCGTCGATTCCACACAGTTCATCATCCCTTCAAAATACCTCCACTGGTGAAATTGCGCCATTGCTAAAGAGCATGTCGTACCAACAACCCAAGACCCTTCGAGACCCTTCGCCGGCAGCTGCTCAACGCTCGAGATCCCATCTCACTTTAACCTCGCCGGTCACATGTTCATGACCAGCTCATCGGTGTAAAGATGGCCTGCGGAGCTGCGCATTCTTCGTCCTTATCCTGATGCAATTTGAAACGCCTCGAGAGAATCGCATCCGATGCATGTTAAGTACATCCTTTCCCTGACGCGCACATCGACAAGCAAGAGCCAACTAATCCATCTTTCCAAACATGCCAAGTTCCGTGTCATCGTGTCTTCCGTGTGGTTCATCGTCCAAACTATCGTCATCATCATCCATGTCAACATCTTCGCCCTGATTGCGAAAGTTGGAGTATCCTTGATTCTGATATTTCGCAGGGAGCGGTGGTACTGGGGGCACATCTGGCATCGCAGTAGGTCCACTTCTGGGAGTGCCGTAGCTACAACTGAGCAAGCCGACGGCCGCCGCGAGATCTTGAGGGTCCTCGTCACCGTGGTAGCTTTCGGCGATCGAAGTATTGGCAGTCGCGGGCCGGCTGTTGCTGGAAGCGCTCCAGCGGTAGATGTTGGCATCGGGCTCAGCATTTGGCATGCTTCCCGAGGAGAAGACCGACTGATATGAGCGCGAATAAATACTGCTGTTGTTACTGAAACGTTTGTTGTCCCGGTATGGCTCTTCACTATGTGGAGGCGGTGTGGTCTCGGTCGAGCTCAGCTCTTCATCGCCGTCACGCATATCGGACGATCCAGATGCTGCTGGAGACGAAGAATTATCGCTGTCATTAGCAGCACTGCCATCTTGATTCATGGCAACCAGAACAGAAGCCGCTTCGAGAAGCTGGACTTGCTGGTGCTTGGATATCAGCAACTTCGAAGTGTATTGCCATTGCGGGGTGTGTTCCCAACTGGCAAGCACGTTGTTAGCGACATCGCTACCACGCACTTCACGTATGCAGAAGAAAACTTACAGATGCTTGTTCAAGCAACTACCATGTTTGTACGCTTTCCCGCAGTGCTCGCACTTCAACTCTCCCGCAGCAGCTTTCTCTTTTTTGGTGAGACGCGTCCCATCGCTAGCTCTTCGCATTTTCGACTTTGACTTCTCAATGCCGTGGAAAGAGGACAAGGACGGCCCGTCTACTACAGCGCTGCTGCTCAATGCCACGTTCTCTGGAACGGAGGCGTGCTGGGGGAGGCTGCTCGGCATGGACGGCAAGCCGTCGTTAAGCGAGGCAAGGGCGGCTTTGGAGGTGGAGCTGCGTCGCTGGACGGCCGAGCCTTCTGCAACGGCGTTCTCGATTACGGCACCATTGATGGATGGGCGGGTGGCGGGAGAGAAGGTAGAGCTCTTGCGGCGGTTGATACGGTTGGCAGTGCTCACGGAAGCAAGCGAGGCAGAGTGAGAGTGGGTGCGAGTGTATGAGTTGCGTGCAGGCAGACTGGAGGCATTGGAGCCAACAGAGAGGCGATGCTGGCTGGCTGGGCGAGACATGTCCTGACAGTCGGCGTTAGTGCCGCAAGACGCCTCACACAAAGTCGGCAGCCGGGCGAACCTTTGCAGCCGTCATGTTTGTAGTGTTTGATTAGATGCCAAAAAGTGGGCGCGAGTTCCCGAATAGCAGGTCAGTCCCTTTGTCTGATGTCTCGGACGTCTCTTGACTCGATCCGCAGCGCAGCAAAGCACAGCCCGCAGTCGGCTAACCCGCTCGGCCCTCCACTCAGGTGAGTCTTGCGCTGAGATGCGAAGGTGGTGGCAGACAGCAGTGCTTGCGGTGAACAGAGGACGGCCGAGAGTCGGGACGCAGTGGTCGAGGCGTGAAGGAGGGAAAAAGGGCAGGCAGGCAGGCAGGCCAGACAACAATCCGACGGCGAAGGGTCTGGCTCGAAACAAGAGGAAAGAGGAGTTGCACGGGTAGAGAGGCAGCGATCTAACGCGGGGCTGCAGGGATGTGCTAAATAAGAACAGGACAGAACAGGCACTCAATGCCCTGCTCTGTGATACGCCGATGCCGATGCTGATGCTGATGCAGATATATAGATAGCGCAGGCTGGTGGATAGCAGGTGGTGGAGGGAGAAAGAGCAACAGTCCGGTGCAGGGACGCCCGAATTTTGCTGGAGCGAGACAAAAGAAGAGGGTCAACAGCGTAAACAGCACGCAGGTGGGAGTGAAGGATGGAATCAGCTGGCCTACGCCATCAGTTACTGTCCACATGTCTCTCACACGGACCACCTCGTTCATGCGAGCCGGCGCGGCGCATTCCAATCATCACGAATCACGAATCAGTGGCCGTCAATGTCTCTGTCTCTCGCGAGAAGGCCAAGGCCGACGACATTATTGTCATCTGCATCTACTCCTCGCAGGGGCATGCTATCGTGCCCACTGCTCATCAGCACAACCTCCGTCTTGTGAGAACGCACTCACTCGCACTGTTGTCTCCAACCTACCACAAACGCCTTGGATCCACCGGTTGCGCCGCACTCGCAGACAGCAACGTCACCGTTGTGCACCAATATCACCATGTCTTGTATAGTCATCTTATTCCATCGCTATGAGAGGCAAGGTCCGGTATGCATGGAGCCCGGCCGGAATACCGTCTCGTCCGTTCTGCCCACCATCGAGATCGACAATAGTCCACACTTATGACTCTGTGCCTCGTCCGCTGATTATTCTAGCGCGGCTGAAACAACATTCTCCCTCCATCGGTGCATTGCAAATTTATTTTTTGCCAGACAGCACAGCTCACGCCCTGGAAAGCTAATCGACTTCGCAAAGGGCATTGATGATTATTATTGCCTGTGTGAGCTGTCTCATCAAACTCTCCATCCGCTCTGACGATCAGCCGCGCGCGTGAACAATGATTGCGCCTTGCACCCTCCAACCTAATGCACAGGCCTGACGCGAGCAAGCCACTTCACGTGAGAACGGCTACCAAACTTGGTTCCGGAGAAGCGGGGTTTGCCTGAGCCAACCCATCGACTGGCTCTCATCGCTTCAGCCTATCACCTTGCGTCTATGGCAAGAAATCTGCAGCCACAGAACCGTGCGCTCGATGAATATTGAGCCTCTGTGCAGCCGATCAAGTATACAGCATCGGCCGTACGAATGAGCACGTTGCTCCCATCCCGGCCTTCGCAGCCATCCGAATGGTTTTGTTTTCCATGTTGACGACTCTGCGCCACAAGATTTAATGTGACAGCGCATTCAGGTAAACTAAGCAAAAGCATGCAAGCAACGAGTCAGGCATCATGCAGAGTCGGGCAATGGTCAACCTTACATATGATAGCGACCTTGAACAAATTGCGTGCAGGTCTCCAGGACTTCGATGCTTCAAACATGGCCATATAACACTTCGAACCAACGTCCATCCCGGCCATGCAAGTCACAAAGCATCAATTCGTGTGCTCTGCAATATTCATACCGGAATATTTTGCGCCAAGAAGCTTCTATGTCCATACAGCTCCCGGCAAGCTAAGCACTTGGCCACGATAGCGAATGCTCACATGCAACAGGCTTGCTGTCGCTTGGAATCTGCTTTGTGCGCTGCGAAATGCTGTCGTGATCTCAACACTCTGCACATTTCCCCGAGCCGTCCAATCCGGATCGATTCTCAGTATGTCGACGCTTCTCTCCGCGGACACCAGTATAACCAGATACAACCATAAGCAATTCAGAAAAGCGGCCTAGCTTTCGGAGAAGTACGAGTCCTTGAGAGGGCCATTAGTCGTCACTGGCGGCAAAACAATATGGCTCAGAGAACGGAAGTACAGCTCCGTGTATGCGCGCTCGATAACATCGTACAGCCTCCAGAACGCACTGAGAACGAACCGAATCGCCGGATCCTTTCTTTCGTAGTAAAAGTGACTGGCTTGCTCCTCGGTGCGCGTCACGAGCCAGCCCCAGCAGAATTGCCATTTGTCGAGAAACCAGCCCATGTTCCACGAAGCTGCTGTATTCGCTCTCGGGAAGCTCAATGCTGGAGCTTTGCCGCCAGGACACATTGCAATCTGACAAAGGACGTCCCAATTGACGTCTCCATCATCGATGCTCATTTCCATGAAACGATCCTTTTTGTCCGCAAAGTAGCTTCGCACATTCTGCGAATGATTTCGATAAGATTCTCGCATTATCTCCTCATTTCCGAGAAAGGTGTCCGCCCCATAGAAATATGTATACGGCTGCCATCGGCCTCTTCCAACATGAATGCTCATGCTTCGCAACCACGTCTCCTCATCTTTCCGCAGACTGAGAACAAATTTCGCGTCTGGATACAATTCCGCCATTTCCTGGTACATCAAAGGCCAAGGCAAGTCTTCGAAGGCGTCGTACCATCGTGTGATGCCGCGAAGCGCGTCGTGTTCGCCGTTCGCCCAGCTGTGAACCAAGTGACGGCTCCGAATATCCCTCCATCCTAGGCGTCTGTACCCAAGTCGTTCGAGCGCGTCGCCGATAGACGTCGTGCCGGTTTTCGAGAGTCCGAGCACGAATATCTTTGGTCGAAGGGTTTCTGGTGGCTGTGCAAGGTGATGTATTAGTAGCGCGAGGACGGATACAATCCAAGGGGCAATCAGCCAGGACAGCCGCCCAGGGCCGTGGATTCTGGCCATGCCTTGATGGAGGCGAGTTGCGAAGCCGTATCTACCTTCTTAACAATAATGCAAGAGATGTCAGTGATCGCCGTGCCAAGTCGGCAGATGCGCGTCATTGGGCGTGATGGCCGGAGTTTGGCCATGAAGGTCGTCTGTCTTGGAGAAACTGGAGCTCTCCCGCACTGCAGCTCATGGTTGTCACGGTGACTCGGATTCGTGCTTCGATCTTTTGTCCTGCATCTGTGGCTCGCCGTCGCCGTCGAATGACCATTTCTCGATGCGCTCCAGGCGGAAGGGACTACAATGCATCGCGAAACGAATCGCTGTGCAAGGTCCTGAAGAAGCGGTGGAAAGGGGGCGTACGACCGATGTTGTTTTGCTGACAAGCACAACTTTTAGAGAGCACGGCTCAGGCTGTTCAGCCTCTGGGCCTGGAACAACGCTCCGCCGCTACCAGATCTGCATGCCGGTGTCCAAGCATTCGTTTGCAGTCCTGAGGCCTCTTAGAGAAGAGCTTCTTTCACTAGCACGAATGCTTGGCTGTCCGCGGCCGAGAATACAGCAGTACAGCAGTAAAACGACTTCGGCAGCCATTGGCAGCAAACTTTCCCAGGGATTCTGCAGGCATGACAGTCTCACGAGTCACGCCCAAGCAACCACCGCGTATACATCGATGACACAAAGTGATCCAGCATCCCCGACGATGGACTCTGGAGCACAGAGCAAAAGAAGAAGGGACAATCATTCTGGTCGATCACAGCTGCTCTGTACCCTGGCTGAAACGCATCCGCATCCGTCGCGTTGTTGCCTGTACCCATGTACCACAGCTCGCTGATCCGCTGCAGCATCGAATGACCGGCGTTGCCATGATGACCACTTTCTTGCTGAAGCGCGGTAAGACGCAGGTCAGCCGGCCCTTCGCAGCAGAATCCTGCTCAGAAATATATCCAGCCGCCAGACACATCCCGGAAGAAATGTACAAACGGTCCAGTTTCACATCAGAACAATAATTCAATCTCTAGAAACACATGATGGTCATTTGTGAGGTCTCACTCCGCGATCTGCCAGCGAAGCGTTCCGGTTATATCTCGCATGTCTGAGACGATGGCAAGAACACGGATAATCTCTCAAAGAAGAGGAAGAACAGTACTCATGAGACTATCAGCGCAGAATTTGAACGATCAGAGTGCACTGGACCAAGAAGCACAAGGAAAAAATGGCCACGGCACGCATTATCTCCTGGAAGAGTGCATGTTGCCTCCTTCTTAGCCTGCTATCTCTCCAATTCGTGCTCCTCTATTCGACACAAAGCAGCAGTCTCACGAACCGTCTACCTTCCTTTGGAACCTCGAATCGACATGATAAATCGCGGCCGCCAGGAAGTACAGTCGCTGATCTTGAACTTGGCACGATAGATGCTTTCACCGCCACGCAGTGCAATCAGACGTTTCCTCATTTATATCGGGACATTGAACGAGCTGTCCGCTACTGGAAAGACAGGCGCCACACTCTCACCCCTCAGGATGTGGATATCTCCTGGAGGAACGATGGCGCTCTTCGTATACTCATTGTAGAGAATGAGCTACGCATACTAGAGACTAAAGGCACTTTTGATAACACGGGCTATCGTGTGCGCATTCAATCTATCCTTCATCTCATCCAACGAGCCTTATGGAGCGCGACAATTGCAGACGAACGTCTACCGACTGTCGAGGTTGGTAATCAGCATTGCTCCCATTCCAGACTGAGCTAATGTTATCAAAAGGCAGCGATTGTGGTCGACGATATGTCCTCCATCCCTAATGGAAAGGATACTCACTCAGTCTGGACATGGACCTCTCTGCTCAGAGGTGATGCTGGACAGAAGAACTGGCTGATGTGCGTGCTCACTCGTTCAATCACTCCTTGCCCCCACATGTTCTTGCTAATGTGGCCCAGCCCTGATTTCGGCATGTTCAGCGCACCTGCCACAGGCTCCTTCCTCGATACCCGAAGACGAGCAGCTCAGCACGACTCTCCATTCACAGAAAAGATTCCGAAGGCCTTTTGGAGAGGCGTAAGATGGACCAACGAAGCGGTGCGAGGAGCTCTTTTGGAGAAAACGAAAGGACAAGAATGGGCCGATGCGGCCGTCATAAACTGGGCATCTAAGACCAACATCATATCTGCTGACGAGATGTGCAAGTATGCTTTTCTGATTCATACCGAAGGACGCTCTTACTCCGGACGGCTTCAGTTCCTACTAAACTGCGATTCGCTCCCGATCCTTCACGAATTAGAATGGAACGCTCACTTCTACCACCTTCTGAAACCAGACGGCGACGATCAGAACTACATCTCTGTCAAGAGAGATTTCAGCGATCTTCAGAGCAAGGTGGAATATTATCTTAAGCATCCCGACGAAGCACAGCGAATCATCGCGAATTCCATCAATACTTTTCGCAACAATTATACTTCTCCTGCCGCGACCAGCTGTTACCTTAGGAGATTGATACGCGAATACAGTACTGTGGCTTTCACCCCGGACGTGAAGAGGTCTGGTAAGCAAGGAGAAGGCACGAAGAGGAGAGGCATCTCGTTCGAGGAGTGGATACATTTGCGAGGCGAGTACAATGAAGACGCCTGAAGGAAGCTTGAGAGAAAAGACTGTAACTTGCAAAGAATAAGAGTCTGGCATTGCGACATGTCAGAGCGAGATCTTGTCTCTGTCCTGTCTTCGTAGAACACCAGTGCAATCAACAAATCTCAATTAGATTGAATTAAATCGAATTACTATACTCATTACAATATTTGGGGTTTTTTTTTCGAATACTTCTTGCTAACACCACCTTCTGCCTCATTCCCACAGATCCAATTTTAACGCCTTCATACTCCTCCTTATTTTGCCCAGCCTCCTCGATTCTGAGAGAAAGAGGTGATATGCTGTCAAAACGCCACATTCCAACCATCACGCGCGTTTGGACTCATCATCGTCAACGTCGACCTAAACCCGAATTATCGACGAGAAAAGCGCACTTATAACGACACCACCCAAGCTATAATGGCAGCGAGTGCAACGCTAACCAAAATCCGCGACATTGTCTTCTCGCTTGCCATGGAATTCTGTGGGATTTCGGGGCCTTGGGTGGAGCGGGAAGATGGCGTTGGCCTACGACCCGTTATTGTTGACTCAGTCCAGGACACTGACGAGCTTGGAGTCGTGGGTTGAGCATCAGGGTGTGAAGTGGTGTTAGATGGCGGTGGTGGTGCTGGAGTTGAGGTCCAGGAAGTTGTTGGAAGTGGTGCGGGCACGGATGTGCTCCAGCTCGCACTTTGATGGCTAGGCTGAGGGCCCCAAGTCGACTCGGTGCATTCAACGAAGCTCGTGTGGAAACGAGTCGTGGTTCCAGAGGTTATGGTTATGGTGGTCGTGCTTGATGGAGGTGGGACTACAGCGACGCTCCAAGGATCGGTCTCGGTTGGATGAGGAGGCTTAGTCCATACACTGCTGGAGGGAGGCGGAGGCGGAGGCGGAGGTGCAGGGCTGCTGCTGTGACTGCTGCTTGATTGTGGAGGAGGTGGCACTCTCCAGCTCTCCGTGGAGCACGGTGTCTGAGCCGCAGTAGTTGGCCATGTTGGCTGCTCTGGAGCTACAGTCGTGGGGGTTGTTGGAATTGTGGGGACTTCTGTCGATTCTGTGCATGAAGTAGTCTCTTCAGGCCAATGGTCAGACGTTGATGAGGTCGGGTAGTAAGGCGGAGGTTCAGGATGAGTACTTGACGACTCTGCCCATTCTGTCGTTTTGCTGGTCGGGGAGTAAGGGGGAGGTTTGGAAGAAGTTGTTGTAGACTCTGTACATTCTGTCGTTTGGCTGTTCGACCAATGAGTCAAGCTCGTGGTTGATGGCGTGATTGAGGACGAAGATATGTATGGGACTGGAGCTGTTGGGATTTCCGCCGACTCTGAGCATGAGCTCCAGTTGCTCGGAACATTGTTGTGAGGATTCGAATGGTCCCAGGCTCCATTGGGACGAGGACTATACCACATGAGTCCACGATCGAGTAGGGCTGGAGATATGACAAAGCCCAACTTACCCTTGGAAAGGAGGAGTTGCCAGCGCTGGACTTGCCGCAATGGCTATCAACACAACAGAGGATGAGCTCTTCATGGTCCTAGGCTGTTGGCCGATTTTTGTAAATGGATCTGCGAATGTGGTGAATGGATGAGATAGAGACAGAGATGAATTTTGAAATCCGAGTATCGCAGGGTGTCGATTGCACCTTTTGGACTGATGTTCACAAAAACGTGTGGAAATGATTCTTACTAGATCTGCACACATGCAGTCTTGATATAGGCGACTATAGAGGGCCTGCAAGCCACCTCCCTCTCGTTTCCCAGCCAGGTTGCCATGAGGCTATCGAAAAACAGCATGTCCCACATGGTCGCCCAGCAGCAGGCTACGCGGCTGAGAGAGCTCGGTGCAAAGTCCTGGCGCTGTTTTCGTTGTGCCAGCCACTACTCTCCGGTTACCAGCACTGGCGAACGTTTCTTGGCCTCATCCTCGACAGTGTCTTAGTTCAAGCGCGTCATTGTGGCCCAACATGGAGAGAATCTTTTCCTCATGCATGAATTCCGAAAAGACCAGCGATGCAACGGAAGCTGGCAAGAAGCTGAGATATGAGGCCAATCCTGGTCAACACAATACGATCAAAACTCACAACCCGACATGTGTCTGTAGGCCCAGCACGACCACGGAATTCGAGATGACCGTTGCACGGCGTACGCCAGTACCATGCAGTCGACACCTTTTACATTCGTGGGTCGACTGTCATAATCCGTGCTCGCCCTTGCTCTGTATGTATTTGGACAAAAGTCCATGGTCATGATGGTTGTCGAAGGAGTTGTCGTTGCCCAGTGAAGTTGATGCCCCAGAAATTCGGGCCGAGGATCGAAGCTGCACAAGCAGACGATCTCCACAATATTCTCATCACCAGTGGCGTGAGTGCCGGTCCACATGTCGAGGGTACAAGAAAATGATCAATTCAAACAATTGGCTTCAGCAATATGGCAATATCGAAGACTATCAATGGCGTCGAAGTCAAAGCAACGGCGCAGAAGTTTACTCTCGACCTGTGGGACTGGTAGAGAGCAGCTTCGATGCAGATGGACGATACTACGAAGGTCGAGCCGATATGAACTGCGAACTCGAAACTGCGGTCAAGAATCTGCTCGACAGGGACGAGTTCAGAGAGCGCATTTTACTTTCATGGACCCTTCTGCGTCAACGCCACCTGCTTCTTCAAAGCAAGACTTTCCTGGATCGTAAATCTGGCATACATGGCTCGCCCTCTGGGATGCATTTCGCTGTGCCTGTGCACGCGTCACCGAGCAGAGCTATTGAGGATGCTGGCAAGCATCTTGTGTTCGTGGGAGACTATTATGAGACTGTCGACCATCGTGACTTCTACCTGCACTGCTTGAATGGCTCCCGTGTGTTGGATCCTTCGCAAGCACTGGCCAAGTGTTTCGTGCTTCCGTGCAGCCATGAAGATGGGCGGCAGGTCTTGCGTTTCCTTTTCATCTTCGGTCATGAAATATCTGACGGACTGAGCGCTTATAACTGGATGAATGATCTGATCAGAATCCTGAACGAACCTCTTGATCAAATCAAGGCTGAGACGAACGGACTCATCCATCCCGACGCTTTGAGGAAGCACCTACCGCCGCCTCAAGAGGCGCTGTACCCGCCCATTCCAGGAAGCAAAGCGAGGCAAAGATGGTTTTGGGCCATTACTCGCCTATTGAGGCACGTTCGAAAGCCGCTTCCAGTTGGCTTCGATAATCCCTTGCGACGACGACAGCCGCGAGAGCCCGTCTCATTCTCGCCAATTTACGACAAAGTCCTCGATTATACCAGGACTCCACCACTCAACACCATCCCCGTCTACATCCACCCAGCCTTGGCCAATGTTCAGCGCTTGCACCGTATCTGCCGAGAAGCGAGGTCCAGCATCGGCGCTGGTGTATACGCTCTAGCAGCGCTCTGTATGATGGAGTTCTATGAGGAGCGTGAACCGCATATTGCGCTTAAAGATCGCAAATGTTTCATCACAGGATTCCCATTAGACCCTCGAGCATTCTTCAACAAGCGTCCGGAAGCTGATTCAATGATGTTGGCTTTCAGTGATGGGATCGCTTTACCATTCCTGTCTTCGAACCTGCCAGTGGACGGTCGTCTCAGACTGCTTGCAAGACAGGCGCAACGCCAATTGTCTGCATATCAAAAGCGAGCAAAGCCGAAAGGTGCGGACGCGACCCGACAATTCCTGAATTCCCGCGGTGCAGGGCTTGTTCTTGCCAATCAATACCTTTACAGCCATGAAAGAGCCGATAGCATCTTACCCGAGAACATGCGAAAAGGCATAAATGTGCAGGGCGCTTATCCGCCTCGAGGCAATCCAACAGGTATGTCCAGCTTTAGCAATTCTCAGTGTACAAATATGAATGGGAAGCTCGCTGACAACATGTAGGCCAAACATGTGGCGTGAGTTCCATTGGCAACCGGGATTCACTCATTCAAAGTATGTACGACATCGGCGATCCGGAAAAGGACTTCGCTGCAGACTTCCTGAATTTGAATGCCACCGTGCGGGCCAGAGAGAGTATGTCTTTTCCACAAAGTCTTTAAAAGTTAGCGGCTGACGTGCTCCAGATGAGTTTCTGCTCGGCATCTCCGGAACGAAAGAAGGATTGTTCTCCTCGCCCTCGTATGTATTGATAACAGCACTCTCGTCGTGAGGATAGCAGCTGATCTTGACAATACTAGGATTGACATGACCTCCATGGACCCAGTTTTGGTCGAAAGATGGAAAGATCGATTCGAACATGCTTTAGATGAAGGTGAAGACTGCAACGAAAAGTCAAGATTGTAAACTCCATTTGGATTTACGAACTGTACAATTGACTGCGAAAGCAGTGCTTCAAAACATTTCAGCCGCAAGAGAGAAAACAAGGTCGTTAAAGGGTCGTGAACGAGAGTCCGGAAGGAGACAAAAAAAAACACGGCGCTAAAATCAACCCTGTGCTCCCTGCGAGCATGCTGGAAAAGATGCTCAAAATCCTTGTTCATCATCGCTGCTGGCGTCGAACATGCCTTGCCACGTTAAGCACTCGCTTGGGATGTCTGTTCCAACCCTCGGGCTTTCACGCAGTTTCCAGGTGATGCCGGCGCCGACAAGAGCAGTGGTCGCGAGTACAGCCCAAAGCGTGCCATTCACGGCTGCCATAGAGTAATCTTCTGATAGGAAATAACTGACGCCAGTAACGCCAACAGCCAAAGCCTTGAACAGCTCTGAAATGGAGATGACTCCAACGAGTGTTCCAGTAGACGCAGCATCCGGTGCTGCGGAGAACACCAGCAAGATCACAAGCACCTGTGCGGCATTTGCGAGAGTCGTCTTGATCAAAGTTGCAATTGTGTTGAAGACGGGAGAGATGATGGCCGAGGCTTCGGTCGCGCTTACGGCCAATGCCATTAGGGGTATGATCAGGTAGAGTACGGGAAAGACCATCGATATCCTTCGGTAAACAGGCAGCGTGCCGACATTGTTGACAAGGAAGGGCACGAGATGCAGGACTCTGAGTGCTACAAGGCACTTCAAGACCAGCATCACCGGGCTCAACCAGGAACATGAAATTCCAAAACCGAAGGAGTGGCTTTCATTGTGACCCATGTGAGGGAGTAAGATCTCGAAAGTGGAGGCGTGAAGTGACAGGATCGAGAATGAAGCAAGCAGCAATAGCACAGATGGCGCAGTGACCATCTGAAGCATGCTGATCTGTGATGTTCGCGGAGCAGCGGCATCATCGTTGAGGGCCTCGATGATACTGATGCTCAGTGACTCCTCAGAATCATTCATCAGGGATTGTCCAAGGAATGCAGCTTTTTCGCAATCGGCATAGTGCTCCTCCTTGTTTGGCTGATCAGTCGGGAGAGTCTCATCTAGCAGTAGTCCCTCAGCAATTCCGATGCTGAAGACCAGGAGACCGCAGGCCATCTGACCAGCAAGGCTGGGGTAGTTAACGAACACGCCATGGAAGTGGTCTTGCGCAAAGTGTCTGATGGTATTCGTCATCAGTGGTCCCATTTGCCCACATACCGCAATCAGCGGAAGTCTAGACACGATCTTGGTTCTGCTACTGCTGCCATGCGTCACGTCTGCGAGCATTGTCAGGGCAGAAACTGTCGCAGCCGAGCTAATGGCGCCGGCGACATATCGCAGCAAGGAGAATGCTACGAAGCTCGTTGCAAAGCCCATAGATATGCAGCAAGCAGACATGCCGAGCAATCCCACCAACGCAATCCTCCTTCGTCCGTAGGTGTCGGCGGCATGACCCCACATCATCCCACTGGCACTGCCGAAGTAATAAGCGCATTGCAATATGCTGCGCAGGAACGAGGTGTCCATAGTCAAGCAGGCAGATGTAGAAGGAAGCAGCGTGGTAATTTGAGATTGAAGAGAAGTCGCCATAATCGCCTCGGCCAGGAAGAGAAGGTAGATCATGATCAAGTTGCGTCGCTGTCGAGGCGTGTGTGTGTTGGTCTGTGAATCCTCCTCTTCGGACTCTGGAGTCAAGCTCCCGTGCTGTTCATACTCGGCCTGGATGAATTCGATCTTCTCCATGTCTCGCACAGAGATCAAAGACCGGGTTTTGCGGTGAAAAGCGAACATGGTGGTGCTCTGTCAGGTGTATTTCAGTGGGAAAGTCGGAGCATGTGGGTTGGTGTAGGGGGTGTAGTTCGTAGTGATAGTGTGCTTGGAAAGGTGTCTGCGCTTCGTTGTAGAGAGTGCAATGCAATGGCGTCCAGCGCGTATTGTTCGATCAGGAGAGAGGTATGTAGGGGCGGTGTTTTGAATGAGTGGCAGCCTCACGGGCCAGGGAAGAATGAGTGACGGAAGAAGAAGAGAAGGATGGAAAGCTGCGACGAAGAGCAGAGGTTGAAGCGCAGTTCGAGTGCAGGAGGAGAGACGACAGACCCCCGAACCGCCGCGACGAAGATGAGCGGCCGGACGCGGACCGTACCGGGCAGAACCAGACCAGAAACGGCATGGCATGGCATGGCCTGTGCCTGTTTCTTCTGCTTCATGCTTGACCCTGATCTTCACACTCCTCGACTCTATTCTACCGTCCGTATCGTCCGTCTGGTCAGACTCCCCGCACTTCGCTGCCACAAGCCTACAGTCCTTACTGTTGTTGACATGTGCCTGGCACCTCCACCTCCGCGGCGAGGGAAACAATATATTGATCGGCGCGGCGGAACGTTGTTTCAACCCACGAGCACTTCGGGCCAAGCTAAGCTGTATATGTGTTGCATCTGCTGTCTTGGCGACTAGAATACTAATAGCTGCTATTCTGATACACCACCCCAGGCTCAAGCCCCGGTGTACCGCCGGATTGGAAATTGCACCAACAACCACGCCTCCCCATGGGCCCATCCTGGACATGGCTAGCAGAGCTTCTCGACATCCTGGTCTTCCTCGCCACGATTCACCACGTGTGGCCCAGTGGACACGCCAAGTACCGAATCCGAAGGCGCTCTCACTCTCTTGAGTCTCTTCCTCGCTGCCACAGATGGACCTCTGAAGATTCTGTTCCTCGCAAGTCAGCTCACTGGCATTCTGCAAGTAATTGCAATGAGGGTTGCGGAGAGAATGTGCTCGAGTATGATGAATATGCTATTCGGTTTGCCTTCCTACCGCTGCTTCTTCCGCTTGACCAAGATCAGGCCAAAGTATGCGATGATGCGATATGCTGCTCCGATTGCAAATAAGACCCTGAGAGGCTGTCAGCTTCAAGTCCGCGTCCAAAGTATCCCTTACCAGCCACTTACCCAACATCTAGGGCATACTGGTGGAGCGTAAATCCAACAGATTTCGCAGCAAAGTCCACCCTGTACAAGTAAGCTAGCGGTTCAAGGTTCTCGCTGAAGTACGCCTCAGTGAACCAGACGCCAGGAGAAAGTCGCCAAAACCATTCCATGTGCCACGTCTTCACTTTGCTCAATGGAGGCGCCACCCCACCCAAGACGCCAATGATAAGGGACGCCAGGACTGCGAGTAAAGGACCATTTTCTCGCTTGACAAACATGCTGATGATGCTGGCCAGACCATAGATGCACCAGAAGTAGGCCAGATTGGCCGCATACATCTTCGGAAAGCTGATGAGAGGTGTTGCCAGGACACCGAGGAAAACCGTAAAATGGAAGCTGCTGAGGCCGATTCGCAGCACTGTAGAAAGCAGTTTGCCAATGTAGTACGCCGAGCGCGAATGCCCAGAAGCCGTCTCGCGCCAGTACATGAGCTTTTCCTCTCCAAACACCCAGAACCCTGGTGCAGATGCCGCCAGACCAATAGCCATGGCGCCGAGCAGGCCTATTTGTGGTGTGCTTGCGTAATCGACGCCGCTGCTGAGAAGCATGAAAGGCTCGTGGTATATGCCCTGGAAGAGGTGACCATTGGACGCAAAGGCTGACAGACCGATGACAACACCTGCCAGTGCTCCTACGCCAATTTCGAAAAAGAACGAAGTAGCGTTGCGCACTTGCTGTACCATGGCTCGTTTCCAACAGTAAAACACCTGCGCTGGCCACGTTGCTCCTCGCGCCTTCATAGTCTTTCGCAGACTTTCTTCCTGCTCGGCTGTGGAATTCATGCTCTGGTTACTGATGCGACGTCTCTGGCGCGTTGAAACCCCATCAAAGCTGTTCGCACTAAGATGCTTATTATGAAGTCGATACTGGCCTGTGCTGGTCCAAGCCTCGATCAGTTGAGATACATCAATCTCTCGTTTACCGGCGCCCACGGTGTACTGAGCACCGTCTCCCGTGATGATGTCGATCAAGGTGTCGGCTGGATTGGAACGCTGAGGGAATGCAAAACCAAGATTTTCAAAGTATCCTTGCACATCTTCAGTGGGACCGGCGTAGACAGATCTGCCTTGGGAGAGAAGCAGAAGTTGGTCGAAACCATAGAAGATCTGTTCTCGAGGCTGGTGGATGATGGCGATTGTCGTCACGCCTAGTCTACTGATGGCTCTGAGTAGTCGCATGATGCTTGCAGCACTAGTGGCATCAAGACCGCTGGTTGGCTCGTCCAGGAAGATGGCCATAGGCGCTGCTGCGAGTTCCATCCCGATATTCACACGCTTTCGTTGTCCTCCAGAGATAACCGGTTTTGCAGCATCGCCGACGCGTGAGTGCTGGACATGTGTCAGCTGAAGACATGCTATGAGAGCGTCCACGTGGTCCTGAACAGCCTTGTCTCTCCAGCTGGAAGGCAGACTGCAGCGCGCAGAATGCAAGATGTTCTCCCGGACTGTCAGTTCAGGAAACACGATGTCGTCTTGCGGCACGTATCCGATCAGCTTCTTGTACTTGCTCATATCTTTATGGTGCCCATTGATCTTTATCGAGCCATCAGTGGCGTGCGCCTTTCCCATGAGTACATTGACGAAGGTAGATTTCCCGGCACCACTGCCTCCCATGACTCCCCAGCAGCTGCCTCGAGGCATTGTTCCTGTGATGCCGTGGAGGATCTTCTTGCCCTTGCTCGTTGTGAACGCGAGATTTTCGAAGTCAAAGCTGAGGCCGATCGAGGAAGTTTCTACAGTTCTGCTCATCGATCGAATGAATCGCTGCATGTCGGGACTGTTTGACAGCTCGTCCTCCAGGTCGTCGTCGTCGCACAAGGAGACGCTATCATCATCAGCGTATCCGTCATAGTGATCGACGCGGCCACTAGCCCGCCTCGTATGTGTGCTCGCAGGTTTGTAAGCTATAGCTGTAGGTTGCTCAGGTCCAGATATTGATATGCTAGGTGAGTGTGTCCGGGTTGCAATTTGTGGCGACGATGATTGCGCAAAGTTCGCGGAGGAGCGAAGCAGCATCATCTTATCATCTGCAGCTCCATCCATACTCTGCAAGGTCGTATACTGCTTTGGTCGACTCTTCCTCCATTTACTGATACCAAATCCAACAGCTACCAAGGCCAAAAGGACCACATCGATCACGATCATCAGGTATAGAGGAATCGTCTCAATCTGCCGAACGCTTCCCTTCGGACACCAAGCACCGGTCGAGCAGTTGAAAGGCTTGTACGATCCTGATGGGCAAAAGGTGCCCTTCTCACATGGGATCTCATGCTTGCCACCAGGGGGACAGTAATGTCCGTTGGCACAGATCTTGGGCTCTAATCGACCTTGAGGGTTGCATGTCTGTCTCCCGGCTCGCATGATCTGACACTGCTCGGTCGGGTGGCAGTATTGAGGTGGAAGTTCGTTGCTCGAGTTTGGGCAGTAAAACCCGAGATTGCAGGTGTCGTTGAATGCCAGTGCCACAGGTAAAGCTCCTTTGCGATAGCATGATGAAGTCGAATCGTTGAGCGAATAAGCCAGTATATCAAACTGCTTCAAAGACATATTTGTGTAGCCAGAATTCGCAAGTTCCTTGTCGTTAAAGAAGGCACTTGTCGCCGCGGCCTGAAGGCTAGTCAGGCTCGCCGGGATAGTTGGCGTACTGAAAGTCATAGTACTTGGCAAGCCGCCAAAATTGATACTGGTGGGGGTCGACATGTCGGATAATGAATGCAGGTTCCTGCTCTGAAGTTGAGATTGCTGGCTACGAGTCGGCCAACTAGAGGTGTTCCAGAGCAAACAATTTGCAGGTACAGTAGCACAAGCTCCGCTTCCAAACACCAGAAAATGCAACCACGACAGTCAAAGGAAGGAAGAATGAGGAAGAAGGCCAGTTTCTCCTACCCGAGCAAGTGGATGGTCTCACTGAAATGAAGTCAGGCAGTCAGGTTCTTCGAGTTCCACAATGACAATGCGAGGCCCGCAGCTGAGCCTTGCCTCGAAAATAGCCATTTTAAGGCTTATAGCAGGTGCCTGTTCGTAGATCAGCGTCGAGGCTGTGATGCTCCGAAATGTAGTCGAATCCTACAGTGCTTACCTTATCCATCCTGAAATAAGTGCATCTGCATGTGATGTTGATGCACCCTGAGGTAAGTGGATTCTCATCTTGATACGGACAAAACGTTGTGATGACCTCCCACCTGTATCACCTCAGTGCTTGACTCCGCAGAAGGTTGAGAGCTCACAGCTTAAATGGCGAGTCGATGTTGTTGTGATGCCAAAGGCGGGAGCGAAGGATGAACGGCATTTCAGCCGCTCCAGCTCTGCCACTTGGACTGCATCGCTTTTGTGCAGCGCTCAACTTGTGCTTTGAGCAGGGCCGCAGCCTGCTGCTGCGCTTTTGAACATGTCTCGAATGTATGCTAGTATGTACAGAACTACATTGACGCCCACGCTACCCAAGGCACGAAATGCTGCTCCGGGCCCGCTGATCTTCCTCTTCCTCGTGGAAATCTGCTTCTAATGCCGGTCGACTCCACGGCCAGCGCAGTTTCTGGGATTGTGCATATCTGCATCTATAGTCCACGGGTATCTATTTAGTACTTTCGAGCAAACGGCGGGATAGCCTTGCACTCTGCCTCATCAAGAGTGGTCGCGACAACTCCACGATACGAGATGTCGGTTTTCTCGTGGGGCTTCTTCTGCCAGGTCAGAGTGTGCTTCATCCAGTTCTTATCATCTCGGTCTGGGTAGTCCTCGCGGGCGTGTGCTCCTCGTGACTCCTTGCGTACGGCAGCGGCTTCGGCAGTCTGGACGGCGCACGTCAACAGGTTGCGGAGCTCAAGAGTCTCGACCAAGTCGCTGTTCCAGATCATGCTGCGATCCTTGGTGGCGACGCGATGGAACTTCTTATCGACCTCGTTGATTCTGTAGTGCTGTTAGTAAAAGAGAATAGCGCAGATAAAGATTTCACCTACCTCTTGACTCCCTCGTCAAGCGACTCTTGGGTCCTGAAGACAGATACATCAGATTGCATCACCTTCTGCATCTCGCTTCGGATCTCAGATGTGCTCAAGTCTCCATCAGCAGTGCGAATTTCATCGACGGTGGAAATGCCCTCTGCACCAGCGTCGCTGGAAAGAGCCTTATGTGGTTGGTTCGGTGAGAAGTTGTCACGGATAGTGTGGCTGACAGCGCGACCGAAAACGATCAAGTCGAGGAGGGAGTTTGCACCAAGACGGTTGGCTCCGTGGACGGACACACAAGCAGCCTCACCGCAAGCGAAAAGCCCAGGAACAACCTTATCATTGCCTTTCTCGTCGACAGTAATGACTTCTCCGGTGTATCTAGTGGGAATACCACCCATGTTGTAGTGAACAGTCGGCAGGACGGGAATTGGCTGCTTGGTAACGTCGACACCAGCGAAGATGGATGCCGTCTCAGAGATACCTGGAAGACGCTCGTGAAGAATCTCAGGTGGCAAGTGAGAGAGCTGGAGGTAGATGTGGTCCTTTTCGGGGCCTACTCCACGACCCTCGCGGATTTCCATGGTCATACTGCGACTGACAACATCGCGCGAAGCAAGATCCTTAGCAGTTGGAGCATAGCGCTCCATGAATCGTTCACCCTCGCTATTGAGCAGATAACCACCCTCGCCACGAGAGCCCTCAGTGATCAAGCAGCCAGCGCCATATATACCAGTTGGGTGGAATTGGACGAATTCGAGATCCTGGTTTGGAAGGCCGGCGCGAGCTACCATGGCCATGCCATCACCTGTACATGTGTGTGCAGAAGTGCAGGAGAAGTAAGCACGGCCGTAGCCACCAGTAGCCAGGACGGTATTGTGGGCACGGAAGCGGTGGAGTGTTCCGTCTTCCTGGTTGTAAGCAATGACACCCTTGCACTCGCCATCCTCCATGATCAGGTCGATGGCAAAGAATTCGATAAAGTAGTTTGTGTTATGCCTGAGTGATTGACCATAGAGCGTGTGCAGGAGAGCGTGGCCCGTTCTGTCTGCCGCAGCACAACATCTGTATGCCTGTCCACCCTGGCCAAATTCGCGCGACTGACCACCAAAAGCTCGCTGGTAGATCTTTCCGTCGTCGGTTCTCGAGAATGGACAGCCGTAGTTCTCCAGCTCGTATACAGACTGTGGTGCTTCTCGTGTCATATAGTGGATGGCATCCTGATCACCCAGCCAGTCTGATCGAAAATAAACCTACATAGGCGTTTTTAGGAGATACTGTAATGGCAGATTTCGTTGAATACACGAGGGCTCGCGTAACGAAATTAAATGTAAGTGCGGGCAGGCCCGCGAGCTTTGATATGCATGCTGTGTTGAATCCCGCCTCTGCCAGACCGAATGCTGCTCGCAGTCCCGAGCCTCCAGCGCCGACGACAAGTGCGTCATATTCGTGGTCGATAACAGGGTATTTGTGTCCAATGGCACCAGAGGCCTCCTTGGCTCTCAGCGGTGCGCTGGTGATTATGCGCTGGGCTCGCGGGGTGCTCGAAAAGTTGCGTGTGGCAGCGCGGTAGGCGTTGCGGCCGGCAAACTGCCTGAGACCGGCGGAGAACATGGTCGCGCTACGGTGATGTGCTCCAAAGTGATGGCAATCTGTGGTGCTGCAGTGCGGTGGGAGAAGATGGAGAGAGAGGAGATGGACAGCGTGGTGGAGGCGAAACGAAAGGAAGCACTGGTGGTATGTTTGAGCCGCGAAGTCAATGATGCACACTGCAGTAGAACAGTAGAAAGCTTGACCTTATAATACATCTCGATATGCCGACGAGTGGGTCCGAGAGCCCTGAGAATCTAGACATCAACTGTCTTTTGCATCCCGATCAACCATGTCCACTTGTGCTTGGAATGCTGCTCAGATACAAGTGTGGTCGATCACTGTAGAATACATCTTTCCGTCTGCATTCATCCCCCTTCAGCTTGCTCGGGATAATCAGGTCGCTGCAAATACAAGCAATTTTCCTGCACCAATGATCCTGTTGCGAGTAAGCCGAGGATACGTCGGGAGATGGTGGAATCATGTGAAGACCTGGCCACGCGATGCCTGCCTGCTCATCCGTCTGTCGGGATCTAACGGAAACACCATGGATGGATTTACCACAACTCATCATACAGCTGATCTCGGCTCACGCTAGAGCTCAGATTTGGCTCGAGCACTCGTGTCTGGTTATGCGAAAGTCATTGATCTCAGTCCATGCGTTGACATTTTCTAGGAAAAGCGAGCAACGATGATCTTCGATCGAGCGAATTGTTCCATGTCTCCCGTTGACAGGACACTCTGAATCAGACCATCAGCGTGTACAGCACTGGTACCCTGCCAAGCATACTAGGAGATGGGAGCAGTAAAGATAGCTGTCTGAAACCTGCAAAAGAGATTGAAGAGAAAGAGCCTGGAGGAATCAGTCTGCTCGTCTCCGGAGCCATGAAAGGATCAAGCCTAGGACAGTTCTCGTATGCAAGCTCCATGCAAGGCTGCTTATACACATCTCAGCCGAATGCTTGCAACCACGTTCAAGGACGTAGGTGTAAGGGTTTCCCCTAGCGAAATGACAGCTTGGAAGAGTGACGACCAGAACAAGTCGCAACTCGACATGCGGAGCTACAATTCTGCTGGTCGTAAAGGCCACGACAGCAACATGGCTGCAACCGTTCTTTTCCTCCCCAGAAAGGGCGACGCCTTCTACAACGAGCAAATACTGTGCCGAGATGGAGGGAAGCTACCAAGATATAGAAATCGAACTGGTGCCGACCCATTGCCAGGAAACACAATTGAGACACCCTCGCAGAAATGGGCGACCTCGGACTTAGCAGGCTCGCTGAAGGCCGCGTGTTGAATGCAATGTGTGCGGCATCGGACACAGAGCGCTGGCTGGACCTTTCACCTGTGCATAGGGCGTAGTTCGCGGATGGGTATCGAAAGTGGCATGCGAAAATTGGACTAATAATAGCGTGTAGGAGGTAAATGTGGTGAATGCTCTTCACACAGAATGTGCTCAAGTCTGTCGTTGTCAAAGCAAATCACCTGCGTAATGTGATCACAAGCAGCGCATATTTTCATGAAATGTATCTGCACCGTGCAAGCAAAGCTGGGGGCGGTCTGATGCGAACCAGACCGTATGAGGCGTGGTCCATACAATATCCGTGGGAACAATGTACGATCATTTGCGCCCTTCGACCATGATTAGATGATAGCCCTCTGAAGTTTTTGCTTCACCCCACACCGGCTTCGCTGTGGTAGAAGCAGGAAGCTCGAAAGCAACATTTTCGAATTCGGGCATCAGAGCACCTATCAATAGATTAGGATCAGAATTGATTTCAAGTCATCGGGTTCCTGCTCGCTCACCTCGCGTCTTCCAACCCAAACTTCCTCCTTGCCGCGCCTTGTCTTCTGAGAATTCTCGAGCGACATCATCGAACTTGGCGCCTGCGTTCAATTTCGCGAGAGCTTCTTCCTTCTTCGCATGCTTTTCCGTCAGGATGTGACGGACATTGATGGATTGTGCGCCTTTCACTTTTCCCTTGTCGCCACCAGCATCTTTGGTCTCTTTCCCTTTGCCCTTGTCGCCGCCTTTGCCTTTGGGAGCCATCGTTGTCTCGCGTCGGTGCGGGCTGTCCGGTACCTTTCATAAGTGAAGCTCGAAGGTGGAAGTGGAAAAGAGGGTCCAGCCAGAACGGACTGCTAGACTTCGCGTGACCATCAACTTCGAGCATCGACAAGATACGCACCTGGACCTGGCAGGCGCACCAATGTCAAAGTCATCGATATCATCATTTACATGTTGTGACTTTGCTTCATCAACGTCAAAATGGAAGAGCACCGCATAACCTCGATACCACCCGCCATGGCATATCTTCCAGATTTCATCAGCGAAGAGGAGGAAAGCAACATCCTCCAGAAGGCAGGAGCATTCGTGGAAGCCAGATATCCCTTGCTAATAAACCCCCAGATTCCCTCAAACCGATGGATCAGCCTCGCCCACAGGCGACTTCAATCCCTCCCAGCTCGCCTCACCAACTCGAACACTTTAATCACATCAAACTCACTCCCCGACTGGCTCGCGATTCCCATCGTAGAGAGGATCCACAAACTGCAAGTCTTCGCCGACGCACCCCATGGAATCAACCACTGCCTCATCAACGAATACAATCCAGGCCAAGGAATCATGCCCCACGAAGACGGAGCAGCATACTATCCTGTCGTGGCAACAGTAAGTCTAGGAGGATCATTGGTCCTCGACGTGACCGAAAAATTGCAGCATGATGAAAACAACAACAAGAAATCATGGCGCATTTTTCAAGAACCGAGGTCTTTGCTCGTTACGACTGGTGAAGCTTACTCGGAGACTCTGCACGGGATTGCGGAAATTGAAGAAGATCGAGATCTCACTTCCGAGACGGTCGCGAACTGGAATCTTCTGGGCGATAAGACTCGAATCGAAGAGAAGGGTGGTGTGAATGTGAGGACCACGAGAATCAGTCTGACGTACCGAGATGTCAAGAAGGTATCCGCTTTGGGGAACAAGATTTTTGGAAAGCCCAAAACCTGAGGAGCAGGGATTGCTTGAGATACAAAATATGCAACGCTCGGACTGGGAACAGAGTGAGATTCATCAAAAGATTGCGCCGGATGCTATCCGGCATAGCTTTGTTGGAGTAGCAAGACTTGTCCGGCAGGTCAAATCAGGGCTGGACTTCCTCCACATCGACCATCCATATCATCATCATCATCATTATCTCAATGTTTCGCTATCCAATTACATCAGCCAACCCCAGCCCCACGGCATCCGGTCAATATCAGCTCAGTTCTTACACTCAGCCAGTCGCTGCTTGGCGAAATCACAGTTGACGACATTCCAGTATGCCTTGATGTAATCTGGCCTCAAGTTCTGATACTTCAAATAATAAGCGTGTTCCCACACATCCAGCCCGATGATTGGGAAGCCGGTTGCGTTTGCGATAGCCGTGCCCATGAGAGGACTATCCTGGTTGGCCGTCGTCACAACCTTCAGAGTGCCATTGTCATCAACCAGCCAGGCCCAACCGGAGCCGAAGACCGAGGTCGCGGCCTTCTCGAACTTGGCCTTGAACTCGTCGACAGTGCCGAAATCCTTCTTGATTTTCGCCTCGAGTTCGCCATCAAGTTTGGTGCCGATCTTAAGGTTCTTCCAGAAGAAACTGTGGTTGGAGTGGCCACCGGCGTTGTTGCGGATCCCGGTCTTGTTCACAGCTGGAACCTTGTCGAGGTGGGCAACGAGGTCATCAACAGCAAGTGCTGCAAGATCCGGCTGGTCCGCTAGCAGGTTGTTCAAGTTGTTGACGTATGCCTGGTGGTGCTTGTCATGATGGATTTGCATAGTACGCGCATCGAAATGAGGTTCAAGGGCATCGAAGGCGTAGCCCAGAGGTGGGAGTGTGTAAGCCATGGCGTGGGCCTCTGCTTGGACACCAAAGCTACAAGGTCATCATCAGCATCCGCATGACCGGTCATGTTTGCAGCATGAGAGATTATTGCCTGAGGCTCTACTGGACGTACCTTGATGCGATAGAGTCGAGTCTAGAAGATACAGTATTCATCCAGTTACCTGCTTGCAATCCCAGGGCATAGAGAGAGAAGTCTGTGAGTTGCATCTTTGCGGCGAGTGAGGGGTATGACCATCAAGGTGTGTTGAGAGGGTATGAGCAGATTATTTCCTATAAGCAAGCTGCAAGCGACCAGCAGCAGTGAGCCAGCAGGGGGATCAGGCTGCTCTGATAGGTGAAGTCGGGGTCTGAAGAGCCACTACTGAGGTGTGGTGTGCTTGACGTGTTCTCTGGCGGCGAGTGTGTCTTTATAAGAAGAAGAGTCAGTTGTAGCTCTGTCCGCACTGCAGCTTGCTCAAAGTTGAAAGGTTCTCTGCTTGTCATACGTCTCCGTACGAGCGGCGTCACACAGCATCGACCGCATCGGGTAACACGGCCACGGCCTTGGGAAGCTCTTCGATCCGATGTCTCCAAGGAAACGCTCCATGCTTACCACTGCTTTGGACCACTTCCAACAACAGGATCGATGGCGATTTGATCTCGACAGTCGCAGAGCAGCAACGTGTCCTTCCAAAAGATAGTTGATGATGAGAGAGAACGCAACACGAAGAGGTGGTAGTACGCGAAATTTGACCTCCTGCTGTTGTCCCACGGGGTAATAAATAATGATCGAAGTCGCGGAGCGGCATCTTCCAGGATCAGGCTTCAAATACGGTTTGGGGAACGCGAACGATTGGGTGGGGCTAGGTATACGGATGTGGAAAGGGGCCATACCATACTGACTTCACCCGTGCAGAATGTACTGGGCGTGAAAGGACTGGAAATCTCAAATCATATTCTGACAAGCTTCTTGGAATGAGCTCGACCAGGGTAAGGTGGTCGCTTGGCGTGATGTTTTGTGGCAGCGATGTGGCTCACCAACATTGCGTGATGAGGCTGACAAATTCAGCAAATATCAAAGAACAAGACCACTACAGGTGTTGCGATGGAGATTTACAGACGTTTCCAAACGACATGTTTCGAAGCTGATGGCGCGGCCACTGAGCAGACGGAAGGTGGCTGTCTCGTCTCGGTTTGAAACCAGAAGTGTTGGAAGAATATCTAATGCAACATGTTGGGTACCGAAACTCCTGTGCTCCAAGGCACGCTCTCATAAACATGAAAATCGATGACTGCCATCATCTTTCCAGCTCCACACAGCAGGGCGTTTACCGCTCGCATGCCTTCCATAAACGCCAGAACACCCGTCAACTTCGTCATGCATCCTCATTGGGGTAGGAGGCAGGGAGGACTGACCAGCCCATGAGCTTCTAAGCCGCTATCGGGAGGCTGGGATACTTGGCATCTCCAGAGGCGGACGCCTTCTCCTTCTCGCCTTCAAGTGCTGACTTCAGCTTCTCTTCAACAGCATTAGAAGGGTCGACGGGGTTCTTCATCTCAACATCGGCACCATCTTTAGCATCATCCGACTTGCTGGCCTCAGCGTTGTCGTACTCGCCATTCTTCAGACGCTCGCCGACCCACTTGCGGAGAGCTTCGATCAGACGGATGTTCTCCACCCACTGCTCCTGTTGCTTATCCTCTGCACCCTCTGACTGAGCAGCAGGGGTCGATGCAGAGTCCGAGCCTTCATTTTCGCCACGAAGAGCAGGGTCAATGCTACTGTTCCCCTTGCTCTTCGGTCGCTTGGCGTCGGATGCCTTGGGTGTGCGGCTGCCGTCTTCAGCGTCGCCCATCTCAGTGTCCTGCTGCTCGGAAGAGGCTGAAGGAGCTTGTCTTTGCAGGCGACCTCCGCTGTAGCGTCTGCCGTCAAGACCTTCGAAGCCGGATGCGAGACCAGATGCAGGAGCTGAGGTCGTGGTTGGGTAGCCAGCGCCGAGGTCAGACATGCCAGTGACAGCCGGGAGGCTTGGGTACATGTGGGCGCTACCAAAGCTGGCTCGGCTGTGACTGCTCATCGGAGAGTGACTTGAGCTGTTGTACGACGAGACGGATGCTGGGGTGAGAGCTGGAGTGTCGAGCGCGGAAGCGGATTGTGTCATTCCTTGCATGCCAGAGCTCGAGCTCATTGCGCCTACACCGCCCATACCGCCCTGATTAAGGTTGTTTTGGAAGTTTGGTGGGCTGTTGCTCGAACGATACTGGTGGCCTCCGATGCCGTAATCCCCACCAGCGAACTGAGTGTGGAGACCAGGCTGCTGAACACCAGCGGCGGCTGCAGCGTTGCCACTGTCATAGCCCCTGCTAGTCTCGTAAACGGTTGCCTGGAGCTGCTCGAGGAAGCGGTCGATGTCCTGCAGATCGTTCTTGGTGCGAGCGTTTGGAAGCGGGAGAGAGTAGCCGCCAGTCGCAACGCCTCCGTGTCCACCACCACCACCGCCGCCGCCGCCGCCCATGCCACCGCCGTGGTTGAAGGATTCGAGCAGGCTAGCCGTGTTGAAGCCTCCAGTATAGCCAGTGTTGTTGTAGCCGGTGTTGTACCCACTGCCACCAACAGGAAGAGGAAGAGCGTTGCCGTGCCCAAGTCTGTGTCCAACATCATAGTAATTGTTTGGGTCGATGGCGCGACGCTTGATATCGCCGAGGAAGTCGTTCAGAGCTTCGATGGCGCGGCGGCGAGTGTCCATGCTCTGGATGTCGGCAACGGCGGCGCTGTTGGGATAGCTGACTGAGCCGTAGCCGGCGTACTGGGTACCAGGCGCTGCGCCGTAGCCGTTGCTGCCGTTGGTCATGCCTGGCTGGTAGTTGGGGTAGGGATTTTGCATGGAGTCGTGAGCGCTGCCGGCATAGTAAGAAGAGGCTGTGCTGTGTCAGAGAGGTCGCGAGAGGTACGCAGAGGAAATTCACGTACGCTTGGCGCCATTCTGGATGCCACCGCTGCTGGCGCGTGCATTGGAGGCGTGCTGAGGCGAGTTCATCAGGACGCTGTCGTCGGCATGGGTCTTGACGTGCTTCTTCAAATCCTGCGGTCGCTTGAAGGCCTTGCCGCAGAAGTCGCACTTATGCGGCTTGAGGGGGACATGCACGCGGATGTGGGAGGTGATGTGATCTCGCTTGACGGTGGTGGTGCGGCATGCACCCCACTGGCAGGTCAAGTTGAGGTTGTTGGTGCTCTTGCGACCGACATGGCGCTCGCAGACGTGGTCCTGGAATGCGGTCAGTGTGTTGCGCGAATGGCGAATGGCGATTGCATACGTAGAGGGCTTCAGCGCTGTCGCATCGCTCACCGCAGCCTTGCCACTGGCAGGTGAGGTTGTCAATGGTCGACGACTGTGTGGTTTGCGGTGCCTGCACGGGCGGCGATGGCTGCGACGCTGCCTGCTGGGCCTGGGCCGTTGCGGCCTGCACGGCTTGGGCGACGGTCTTTGCGCATGTCAGTATACAGGATGTGAATGTATGTAACAGGTCAAGCTGTGAAGCAGAGCGACAGACGAACCTGCGGAGTAGAGTTGACGTCCATTCTTGGCGTGATGGATCTCCAGAGGGCAGAGGGCGGGCGGGCTGGCTGAGCCTGGCTGCGCTGCTGCCAAGACGTGAAGCTGTCTTGTTGTTGATGATGATTCTTGCCGGTGTGCGTCGATGTATGCCAGTAACTACTAATCCCCGGCAGTGCGCGCTGCGGACTCGACGCTGCACACAATTATTTCTGATGCCAGCGCCGATGGAAGAGCCGGCGACAGGGTGTGTTGAAAATGCGAACAGGCGGGATGTCGCGGCAGGAAGTTTGGACGCCGAGACTTTCAGTAGCGGGACCCAGCTCTATTTCATCTCCAGCGAACTCATCGGGCATCGGCTTGTCAGACGAGAGGGCGGCGGAACGCCAACTGTGCCAAGCGCCTGCCTCACTGCCTTCGCAAGTCCACCGCGCCTTCCGTTCCAAAACCTGAAACGAGCCACTCAGAGAGCGCTGCCAAGCCGCCATCCCTGCTGCCAAGAATCAAGCTGACTTCGGAGCTTCCCTCGCTCCCAGCTTGTGCTCCATGTGCATCGCTCGCTTTAGCACAGCGACTCTCCGCCATTGATAGTGCGCTCGTCAGCGCAGAAACGCGCACATGTCCTTGATGACATCTTCTCTCGGACTGCCGACCTTTCTGGCGCGCAGGCATCGTCCTGAGCAGGAGCGCCGTCGCAGCCGGCCCGTCGATGGGGTGATGTATATAATGAATGCCAAGACCCTCTAAACCACACCCCTCACTCCTAGATGATTCTGGGAATCTGGCACAATCTCGTGTGCTCGGAAGTTGGAAGCACGGCTGCCGCTTCATAACAACAACAACAACAACAACAACTTCATGTTCTCAGTAGCCCATGTACAACACGTGTAGATAGGAGTGAGTGCACGACAAGGTCACAGCACAGAAGAGAGGCAGAAAGAAAGGCGCCGCGCACGAAGGTGACCTCTGCAGCCCCCCATGCAACATGCCAAGGCCAAGACGCACGGAAATGAAGATCTCGGCCTCCGCTCTGGGCGTTTACCAAGTCTCCGCTCTGGGCATCGTTCAGAGTCTCTGGGCATTCCGCCGTCGTTCTGAACCTCTCCCTCTCTCTCCCTCTCCCTCTCTCTCTGTGCTCGGCCCTCAGCCCAGCAGGCGACGCGCGTAAGCCCCGCACTGCCTCGCCACACGCACACACAACCGACCCTTCCACCCGAAGCACACTGCAATAACACGTCGCTCCCCTCGTCTGCGCTGTGTTCGCTCAAGCCTCACGTCTTGCACCATGTCATCTTGCAGCAATCTTGTCGCCCATGCCCCACTAATACCCACCTTCGCGCACGTGGCTGCCACTCGAAGAGGTGTGTGGCGTATGCTATACGATGGTCTGTCACGCTCAACGACGAGGCGTGGCACAAGAGCCTACTGTAGCTTGGATACGAAGGTCTTTGACGCGTTCACATCGTGCTAGCTTTCGTCAAATCCCTTCCCATAGTCTCCAGCAGAAAGTCGGCATGCTTCTTCTGACTTGTTGGTAGGCATCGGCCTCCGTATCACAGCTCGCTCGCCACAACCACCCATATGTACATCGGACGAGGCCTGAGAAATAGCAGACACGGTGTCCACGTACAAAAGTGCCATGTTGTCTCGAATTCTCACATCCGGAAAGGATGTCGCGGAGACATGCAGCTCTTCTAACAGCGTAGCTGCCGTTACTGTGACTTGCAAAATGTCGTGCCATAGACCCGAATTAGCCGCCGTACGCACTTCGTATATAGTGCTTCGTGTAACTCGAGTTGTTATATAAAATGGGAGGCAAACTCGATCGATAGGAGTATATAATAGCCTTCTAGTACCGTAGAACGTTCCTTATAGTCTTCTTGTCTATATTGTCGCAATTTGTAGTAGTATAGCAAGTCCTAGGAGTTGTTTGCTTAGTAACTACGGTTGCTATAGCACGCCTACCTATTTAGTAGACTTAGGAGCTCCTTACCCTCTTTACAACTACCTCTTTATCTAATTATAATATTGCCGTCTATCTAAACCTCTCGAGGCGCTATATAAATAAGATTAGGAATACGTACGAGCTATTTAGCGTACCCTATTGTTAGGGCTAAAGAGGCTATACGTAATTAGTATAGCCTGTCTATATTCTAATCTCGACCTCTATTGCTACTAACTTAGCAAATCTAATAGGCTGCTTAGCCGCGCTAAATTAAACACTTAACTACCTAATTATATAACTATATTAAACCTCACCTCTAATATAATACAATATCTAACTCTAACTGCGCTATCCTTGTATATAATAAAGTAAAGGGATATAAAGCTATAAGAATTAAGGGCTATCGACTAATTATAATACAGGCGCGTCTTCCCTACTATAATAGGTAGACGTACGAGGTATTGCAGCACTGCCTCCGCTCTAAGTAATGTCGTTCCGAGTTCTTTACGTCTACTCTAAAAGACCTAGCTATGTCCGCTTCCGAGGGTTGTCCGCTTCCGAGGGTTGTCCGCTTCCGAGGGTTTGTTCTTATTATTATAAGGGCTATTATTGCTCGTAGTTTCGCTAGCCCTAATTAGTTAGGTTTAGCAGCCTTTAATTGTTAATCTTATCTTATCTTTTTAGAAAAAACACAGCTCGTCTAGTTTCTATAGGTAAAGGCTATTATAAGTGTAGTAGTTAAGGTTCGCCTCGCTTAAAGGGTTAGAAAGATCGAGGAGTAACCTATTGTCCGCAAGATCGACCCCGGCTAGCTTAGCTCTATAGTTTTGCCCTTAGTTAGTCTATTAGTCGCTTAATCTTTTAGGCGGCTTAAAGTTTTAATTAAAGTTTTAATTAAAGGTGCCTTAGGCTCGTAGTATAGGTAAGGTTGTCTTTATAAGTATAGTAGTAATAGTAGGTAATGTTTAGTAATAGCGGCGCTAGTCGTCTTAGCGCTAACTTTACCTTCCTCTAATTTCCTTCTTTAACTAATAATAACTCGGCAACACCGTTACTAATATAGCCGCGCCGGCTGCGCCGTTATAGCGCGACGCCGTCCTCGCCGATCGCCTAGGCCTCGATAGAATAAAGGAACAAGAGGAGGATCTAAATACTAGGAGGAGGGTCTTATAGGGCGTATTAGTAAAGAGGTAGAAGCCTTAAAAGAGCAGTAACTAATTAGCGCGTCGTAGCGCACTAGCGTAGTCTTATTGTCCTTTGCTAATAATTGCTTATAGCTAATTAGTTAGCTAATAGTACCCCGGGGGTAGTATTAATCCTAGGCTTAGTAGTAATATTATAGGCATTATAAGTTCTTAGCCTTCTTCGTGTTCTTTACGCTAGTCTAATACTTATCTAATAACTTAGTTATATCTTTAAACGAGTCTTTAGCCTCCTATAAGTCCTATTTAGGTAAATAGCCTTGCTACCTTAATAGGTACTCCTTCTTGCCCTACCTAGTCCGATGCTTTAGGATACGTTCTATAGACTATAGCTCTTTACTATTAGCTAAGACTTCTTCTAACTTAGTAGGCGCTTTATCGCCTTCGCGCTAGTAGTATAGTTTAAGGAGGGAGATATAGAAGGTGTTATAGATAGTATAATAAGGTAGAAGCTATAACTAGTAGGCCTAGCTATTGCCCTTCGGTTCTCGGATGCGAAATAGGCTAATATATCTTAGTGCGAGCTTAGGCCTTGTTTTACTATTAGGTAATAGGTGTTTGCGGATGCGGAGGTTCTTAGTGCTTAGTATAACTATATCGCCTTGTTTAAAGGTTATTAGCGTATAGTGCTTGTCGTAGTAGGTCTTTTAGTACTCTTAAGCCTTTATTAACTTCTCGGCTATCTTAGTATAGATTTCTCGTATCTTCTAAACCCTCTTAATAGCCGCTAGTATTTTAGGTACTTAACGCGCTTCCCTTTCCTTACGCTCGGCCTCGAGCGATAGGGGGTCTTATAGTATAGTAGCGTTCTAACCTATTATAGCTATATATAGTGAAACCTTAGTTAATAAGTAGACACTATTATTATATACGAATTTAGCTAGTTATAAGAGGTTAACCTATCTATTAGAGTCCTTATCGATATAGCTACGTAGGTACTGCTATAGCGTAGCATTCTACCTCTCTATTTAACCGTTAGTCTATAGATAGAAGGCTGTTAACAGCCGATGCTTTAGTCTTAGCTACAGGCATAATTCGCTCTAATAGTGCGATATGAATATCGAGCCCCTATCGGAGACTATCCCCTTAGGGGTCCTCTAATAGCTATAGAAGATGTTGTTCTATAGTGCTTTAGCTATATTAATAGCCGTCTAATCCTTCCGAGTAGGAATATAGCGAGCACCCTTAGTAAATCGGTCTATAACGACTAGTATAGCGTTAAAGACGTCTTTGCTTCCTCTTCGCTTAGTAGGGGGAAGACCTATAATAAAGTCTATTATAAGCTCTACAAAAGGCCTCTTTAGAATAGGGAGTAAAGACAACTCGCTAAATAGTAAGTGCTTTAGTACTTTAACTCGTTAATATACGGCACACGTATTTACGTAGTCCTTTATATCCCGCTTACTATTTAGCTAGTAGTATATACGCGATAGTAGCTCGTGCGACCTCTCTATACTATAGTAACCGGCAAGCTTACTATTATAGTATCGCTTAAGAAGCTCCTATCTAATCGATTGTTTAGCGGGGACATAGTATCTGCCCTTAAACTTTAAGTAACCTTTATTATCGATCGACTAGTTACTCTTACTAGATCGAGTCGTTCGCCTACTTATAAGCTTGTCGATACGTTTAGCAGCAAAGGCGTCCCTCTACTAAGCACGTAATAGCTTATCTATAAACGATTAACTATCCCTATTTGCAAGGTTATTTAATAGTACCCTCGCTATTAAACGAGGTACGTATTATATATATCTAATAGCACTAGTAGCCGGATTAACTATATTAGTGCTTTAATCGCTATTACTATATATAGCGATATCGACTAGGGAGTTATTATAACTTCTCCTATCTATGTCCTTAGCCCTTGCCTTAATACGCACTATTAATATAGTAAGAGTATTAATATGCTTTAAGCTGTCGCGGAGTCCGGTAAGCCGCTTATCCTACGCGTACTTATTAACAATACGGGCTATAGCAATCTTATACTATAGGGTTAGGAACAAAGAATTAATATATTAGGTCTCGCTATCGTAATTAGGTCGCCTCGATAGGCTATCGGTAGGATTACTTACGCCTAGCTAGTATAATATATTAAAATCAAACCCGGCGAGGTAGACGGCCTATCTAGCCTATCGACCTATAACC